TTTAGCATATTTCGCGGTGTTTTGACTAGCCATTATTTCGCACACTTGTAGTCGCATTGACACTGTTATATTACTGAGTCCAACGTTGATGCTAGTGTGTATTAACGCCCCCCCCCCTCCTGTCCCCACACCTGAACAAGGACAGCGTGCTATGCCCCCCCCCTCCACCCCTCCTCCCGTCTCACAACTGAACTGGGATAACCCCGCCTACCAAAAATAATGTTAGATTTAATGTGTGGACGTCCACATTGGGCCAACCCCCCCCCCTCCCCCTGTCCACACGCGTCCCAACAAAAGTCATTTTTTTTCGGACCCCCCCCCCCCCCCCCCCAGTGTGGACGTCATAAATGGATGACTCCTAATTAAGAAGTGTGAGACTTAAGGACAACTTTAGAATGAAGTTAACTCGGCCCGGCCCAGTGTATCAAAACAGTACGGATTTGAAAGTTTGTATTTAACCGTACACAAAAATCCAAATGACCATGAATAAAGAATATCATTAGAATAAAAAAAAACAATAGGCTGTGTGCTTAATCAGTCTACGAATGCCGTTACGTCCATCATAATAAATAAGGATGCCCTACAAACATTATGCAATGAATAGAAACATAATAAAGATGCCCGATAAAATATAAAGCGAACAAGGACATAATTACTGTAGGGATGCCCTTCAGACATTCAATAATGAATATAAGCATAATAAATATCCGATAATATATAAACGAATATGGGGCCATAATTGCTATAATTATATAAATACAAACGTGAATACAAGTAAATTACTTTTAAAGATGCCCTGATGATATATAAATGTATGCGGGCATAATTACTGTTTGGATGCCCTTCAAAAGTATTATGATGAATATAAGCAAATTACATTAAAGATGCCCATACAGTGTGTAAATTATAATCATGGGCTTTAATACTCTATGGATGACCACAAGTGTATAAAATGATTATGGGCGTGTGCTCTAAAAGATGCCCCTACCTACACAAGTATCAGATACTCTGTTAATTGAAAGACTGCATACATTTATTCGGGGAATATCAATGACTACTACACCACTACCCTTCACCGATGCCCCTTTCTCCCTGAAGGTTGTACGACACGGACAGAACGATGACTATAGCAGTGCCATGTGTTGATTGTATATACACATTTCGGTGAATTCGGCAAATTGTGATAATTTGATAATTCTGATTCTGCCTAGGTAGACAAACCTTAGTAGACATTAAGATTTCCTAAAAAAAAAAAAAAAAAAAAAAAAAAAAAAAAAAAATTTAAAATTAAAAATTAAAAAAAAAAATCAATTTTTTTTTTTACCCCCTTTGGATGCCCCCTTGATGTGGCTGCCCGGGGCCTGGGCCCCCTCCGCCCCCCCCCCCCCCTCTGCACGCCACTGCTTCGGAGAGAATCTAGGTGTTTGGAATTTTGATGAGAGATGAAAAAGTATTTGATTTCGACCGTTCCATAACTTCAGGTTCTTGCATTTGTTTTTACCTTTTGAACTTACAAAACAAGAGGCCTAGATATTTTACTTTCTTATGATTTGCATGATTTGTACTGAATACATGTTTTCTTCTTAAGCACCGTGAAGGGCCTAAATGTTTTCGAAGACATTACAATGGTGAGCCGTACGGTGTTACGCCCAAAAAAAAAAACTTATCTAAAGTAGGCCTACTTTGATTTTGTTAAGTTTTATTTCCGTTGATGATGAACGTTTATTTTTAATGTATGCGCATATTGTGAAGCAGAAAATTGTTAAATGGAATTATTTCAATATTTTCGGGTTTTTTCCTTTTGTAGTTCCCAATTATATATATATATATATATATTATATATATATATATATATATATATATATATATATATATATATATGCCTATATATATATGCCTATATATATACGCCTATATATATATATATATATGTATATATATATATATATATATATATATATATATATATATATAATATATATATATATATATATATATATATATATATATATGTATATATATAATGTCCTAAATTATTTTGAACACTGTTCTTGTTTAGATTACCCTTTATTAAAATGTTACATGAGGGAACACATACACACGCACTGTTTGCAAATATTTTGATGGAGCTCGTGTTCATAGTTCATGTTTCCTGTTAGTGGCGGGCACTCTTTATTTTCACTCCTCCATAATTTAGCCGGTTCCTTTAAACGCCTGAGTAAAATAGCTCTAGTAGTCTCAGGTGGGTGGGGATAGAAACAAATCATGAAAAAAACTGTGGCTGGTGTTTCCAAATCTCGCTTGCTTTTCCCAGAACGTGACTCCCGCGCGAAAGTCGTAACACGCCTTGACTGCGAACATTAGACCGACTTGATCTGCTTCGATTTCTAAATACCGGGTGTGAGGTTTAACAGATCAACAAACCTAAAAGCACGTCACACATCCAAGAGAATCCAAAAGCGTGAATCCCTGTAGGAGATAAACACCAAATCCCGAAAAGACAAAGTACGAACACATTATCAATCAAAGAAAACACACTGTGGCTTACTGAACTGTGCTTTAGGACAACGTGCGCCATCTCGTGGCCGAGAACAAAAGCAAGTTGATCTGTGGAATCTACAACTGCCAGTAGACCTTCATACACAAATATCAACTTGTTTTGTAGGACGTAAGCGTTCGCGGATCTATCTTCCACAACGTATGTAGTCCAGTTGCCTCGTTCTGACAGTTCCTTGTTTGCTATAATAATAGTATTAGTTTACATTACGGACGAACTTTCACAGTAGATCTGTTTCGGGATAAGAGATAGCCTTCGTATTCATTTTGTAAACCTTCATATGAAACACAAATCCAGCTTCTGAATCATCGTCTTCAAATATGGCAAACCTTAATCTACCAGTAATTGGGGTTCTTTCCAGATGGATTAAAATATACAAGAGAAACATCATTACAAGAAACGCAGCAATGCCCGCCGGGTAATACCAAAATTTTTTCAGCTGTCGTTGGTAACGCCTTCGATCACGTACTCGTAAACTTTTGTAGAAATTTCGAACCTCACGGCCTGCCAAGGCGGCAAAAACCATGATCAGTGGTTTGGCTACAGACAGCCACGTCACCGGATGCATTGTGATGTGTTGGATTCTCTTTATAAACAAAAACAAGCTGTGTGTTCGACAAACACACTTAACATGGTAGCTCTACTTGCGGTGGATAGTTTTTTAACCATGGTTTCAATGTGCGACACAGTAACACGACACACATTATTTGGACACATTCCAGCGATGTTTGAGCTGGAACTCAAATTTGTGTGTCTCAGGACACACACAAATATTCTTTTAAAATTCTACATCTTGTTTGACTACATGCGTTTTATAAATTCCGGAAGTTTATCTATCTCTGAAATACTCATTCAACAGTGCGCCTCTGGTGCGCAGTTGGCTTTAGGGAGTTAAATAAATTACATTTTGATTTAGGCTGTTACTTTATATTATCAAGCTATATATCAAGCATCATTATCTTCATTATCTTATCCTGTTCGTGCCCAAGCAGTGTTTCTTCCAGACTTTTTTCTCCGGGGGCACTTGAAATTTTCGGGGGGGGGGGGCGGTAGACTTTCTTTGGGGGGCGGACACTGTTAAAAGTATATATTTTTCTATATAAATTATATACATTTCATTTCGTTCGGGGGGCGGTAGAATTTTTCGGGGGGGGGGGGGGGGGAGCTTTGCCCAAGACACATGTCGTAGATAAAGTAGAGTTCATCTGATTCAAAGACCTCGGCCTATAAAGAGATGGTGTGCCTAAGTGTGGTCAGCACTATGCCCAGCCGCCTTTGCTTTCATTGAGTCCACCCATCGGAGCAAGGACGTTCTACTGACTTGAACCCGGATTCAAACTCGAGACTTTCGGGTTAGCAGCCTAGCTTTCTACCGCTAGGCCACGCCGTTTATATATCAATACTGTCATAATATCAGACATAATATCAACACGTATTATATAAACATATGTAACATATTCATGGAACGGCGGTGATTGGATGGTAGAGACTGGTTACCTGAAAATCTCGAGTTTCGGGTACCCTAATCCAAAAAGTTCGACAGGTACCTGACTTTCGTTAGGTAAGTAAAGGCAGCTAGGTAAAATACTGATCACTATCATCCACTAAAACACACTGTATGCCGAGGTCACAGAAACAGGTCTACTCTACATCATCTGCTTAATGAACGCAGGTTTCGAAAGGGTTAACTTTTTACTTTTTAAAAAGTTATTATTAATACAAACAATTTTTTTTTGTGTGAAGATGTTTAACGATGGAGACAGGGAGTTAAAAATTGTCAAACAAAACTATGTCGGCATTTATGAATGGCCCCTAAGGAGAAAGAAACATGACTCCCAATCTAAAAGCCCGTAGATCCACTTAAGAACAAAATGTTTCGAAAATGTACGATTCGATCCTTGGCAGCTTCGCCCTATATTAGATTCTATCTCGGGTGACACCCGGTGCAGTAATACAGAGTGTCACCCCATAATCCCATTCCATCAACAACATGACAACAATGTAGGTCTTACTCTATTTGGGCCTGTTAAAAATATAGGCGATTAGGTGTCATCACCATCCCGGATGGTATCACTCGGTGCCTAATGAAGTAGGCCTGTATATAACGTTTTAAAAGCTATTAAACTAAGTGGCATATAACTTTCTTTTTAAAATCATCAATTTTACGTTTTGGTGTAGCCCCATCCTACCCAATTGGACTGTGTCAACTGGTGCGGCCTGTACCCCTCTCTCCGCATTGTGACGCTACTGATTCGTGGTTATAGAATATCGATACAATATGGCATATGGAATGGGGTTTTTTGGTTTTTGTGAAACAAGCGCAGTGTAAAATGTTTGGAAACAACACTGTAAAACATTTAACAAAGTCATGCGCAGTATAAAATTATTTACTTGGCGAGGTTGTAGCCCCTTATTTTTTACGCCTTATCACATGACAGTAGTATTCTTAGTTGCAGAACGAAAATGGCGAACTTTGATCGCATCAGCGAAAACATGCAGCACTGTGTTTCACTCTACGCCATACCAGCTGGTTTAACTGCAGCATCTTTAGGGATATTGTTTTTTCTTAAAAAGTTTGGAATAGTATATAATCTTTTCCATAAGGTAATGATAAATAATATGTATATGTATTTAGAGACCATTAATTTTGAACTCCAGAGAGAGTCAGAAGCCAGAGCGTGCCTGTGTGTAGTAAAAACTGTGTAGACTGTACTCAGTGTACTGTAATGCCTGTGTCAGTGTATGTAGTGTGTACTGTCAGTACTGTGTGTGAGTGAGACGAGTGTTGGTGACGACTTTTTAACTGAATTCAACTAAACTTATCAATGCTGGATATATCATAAACTTTAATAAACCAGCATCACAGTTTTATGTGATTTTTATCCCCCCCCCCCCCTCCCAATTGCCAATTGTCACACATCACTATCACAAAAATAAAAAAGTCAGCTAACTCCTCCCCTCAATTGTCATACCAGTCAACCACTCCCCCATATTTCTTTTTTTTAAAAAGTAATTTCCCGCTTTCTGAGTTGTTAACTGAGCGCGATCAACATTTAATATATTTATAAACTTTTTATCGTAATTTACAAATATGTCTTGTAAAAACTTAAAACATCAGCCGATCAAGGGACTCGAATTGTTTAAAAGGGTCATCTTCATATATTGCCTTAATTTTCAAATATTTTTCAGGTGGATGAAAAATCAACTCGCCATGGTGGTGAACTTGTTGCACAAGTGTTAAAGGTCGTACATTTATTTCTACTATGTCTAACAAAAAAAAATCATGTTTAATTCATAGTGCCTTTGAAGGAGATTTTTCTATCTATCTAGTTCCACCTCTAAGCCTAGGCTATGTATAATGCTTGCAAATGTTACATCCTCTTTTTTTTTATAATACACAGTAGTAATTTCAAGATGGAATATATGATTAAATTAATAGTTTGATACCATTTTTATAATTTAAAATAACCTATGGACCTAATATTTATATTCATACATTTTAAAACTTTGGTAAAACAGTTTTAAAAATATTATTTGTTGTAGGCCTACATATATTTTGTGAATACTATTTATAACTAAACCAATGCATTCCAATTGAGTAAGTAATGACACTATTAAATTAACAAAAAAAAAAACAACATATAACTTAACAGTAACATTTTTTATTAACATTTCCAGGCCCACAATATTAAGCATATTTTTACTCTTGCTGGGGGTCACATATCACCAATTTTGGTTGCCTGTGAGAAAATAGGAGTCAGAGTTGTTGACACAAGACATGAGGTTTGGAGAGGTTTTTTTTTTCATATACTTTTCAGCTACTCAAACTTAAAATGTTTTACTAATAAAGTTATTCCAGATATTTAAAAACTAATCTTAGTATAAAAAGTTTTGGCTATAAGAAAATTTAAAATAAGATATGATGCTAGTGTTTTAAATTTCTTAAACACTACATATGTAAGTAAATTACTACTTAGCCTTTATAAACATCTAGAGGTTTACCACTTGTTATATTTTTTTAATTTGAAAAAAAAAAGATTAAGCTTAATTAGGAAGTGATATTACTACAATATAAAGGTACGTTAAAGTTAATTGTTAATGCTCAGGTAACCGCAGTATTTGCTGCTGATGCTGTAGCTAGAATGTCAGGAACTGTGGGTGTGGCTGCAGTCACTGCAGGTCCAGGTAAGCCCCTTAAAATGGAAAAAAAAATAGTCACTTTTTAAGTGTGTTTTAAAAATTTATTCTGATAATTTAATGATTCATGGTCATTTTATTTTATGTCCTTCTGTTAACTAAAGGTGTAACAAATACAGTCACAGCAGTAAAGAATGCACAGATGGCAGAGTCCCCTCTGCTTCTTATTGGAGGTGCAGCTGCTACCCTTCTTAAAGTAGGTGTAACCATAATACATTTATCAAAATGTTACAATGAATTGAAATTAATTTAAAAGTTGTAATAGTTTTAATAATATTTTTTTTTCTTTCTATAAACAGGGCAGAGGAGCGCTACAAGATATTGATCAGATCTCATTATTTAAACCTCTGTGCAAGTACTGTGCCACTGTAAAAACAGTTCGAGATATTGTACCAACACTGAGGAAAGCTCTTCAGATTGCACAATCTGGAACACCTGGTAAAGTAAAACCTTTGTTTCCCATGATACGAACCTAATTTTGAAAGTAAACCTTTAACTTTTATACATTTCTCCAGTTTAAAACCTAGAGAAAATCTGAGATTTTTTCATAAGATAATAATAGAAGATGCAGTAAACTATGGTCTATCATATTTCATTATTCATGTTTATTAAAACCTAATATAATCACAATATTTATGTAATTAATATTTGTCAATATTTTTACTGTTTTTTTATTTAGGTCCAGTGTTTGTTGAATTCCCTATCGACACTTTGTATCCATATCATTTGGTGAGAAAAGAAATTGGAATGAAAGATAAAGGACCAGCAAGCTTGGGACAAAAAATAGTTGATTGGTCTGTTGTAATTCCCCATTTAACAAGTTGCAAAAGATTTATTTAAAATTGGAAAGCTCACTTCATTCAGATTATTTTGATCATCTTACAATCTGTTTTAGTTTTTAATTCAAAAAATTATCTAAATAGTTTTAGAAATTATTCTCTCTATCTCACTCACTCTCTTCTTCCCCCCGCCCCCCCCCCCCCCCCAATTTAATGTTCATAGTTTTTGTTATTTTAAAGCTGTTTATTGTCACAGGTATCTTAACAATCATCTGTCAACTCTGTTTGCTGGTGCTTGGGAGTCAAGAGAAACTGGACCACTGCAAGTTCACCATCCTAAAGCTTCAAATGCCCAGAGTATGTTTATTTATAAATTTGCCTGAGTCATATAGACAATGAAGTTAATTATAAAAAGTAATTTTCAGTTTACACAACTGTTTATACATGATAGAGGGTCTGTGGATATCATATTTTTATTACTTTACATTTAATTTAGCATGTACATTAAAAAAAAAATTGAATAGACCAGTAAGACAAGAAAATATTAAATTTATTTTGCAAAATGATCACTGTTAGAATTATTTGAAAATTTATTGAAAATGTTGGTACCTTTAATGTTAGAACTACATTAATAAACCAATGTATTAATTTTTTTTTTTTTTAACAGTTCAAAAATGCATAGAACTGATATCCAGAGCAAAGAAACCAGTTATTCTGCTTGGAAGTCAAGCAACTTTGCCACCAACTCCAGTAGAGGATTTAAGAAAAGCTTTAGAGGTATATATCCTATTTAAGAAAATCACAGGGATAATGGGGTCGGCGTGGTCGAGTCAGTAAAGCTCATGGTTGCTAAACCGAAACGTCTCGAGTTCGAACCCTCGGGCAGATGAGGCTCGTTAGCTGGGGACAGTCACTCTTCTAGGAGAGACAACTCCAAAATTAAACAACTGCTGCCTTGTAGTTTGTTCTTTGTTGGACAAAGGCTATGGAAGCAAATCCAAAAAGAAAAGCAGGCTGAAATCGGAGTCAATGGCCTCAATGGCGCATAACCAGTTGACACGTACCGCTTAATTGTGTTGGAGGCGTGGTCGAGTCGGCAAAAAGGTCATGGTTGATAAATTCGAACAAAGTCTCGAGTTCAAACCCACTGGCAGATAAATCTCGACCCCCTTCAACACTAATAATTAAGAACGAAGAAGAAGACAGGGATAATTACATCTAATATACAAGTTAACACAAGTAAATAATAAAAATGTTCTTTCTATTTCTGTTTTGTGACACAAGAGATTAGAAATAGTTAACAAAATTATTGTAAATTTATTACATAATTTGAAATATTTGTTTTAGACATTGGGTATTCCCTGCTTTCTTGGTGGGATGTCCCGTGGCTTACTAGGCAGATACAGTAGCATACAAGTTAGACAGCAAAGAAGGGAGGCACTACGTGAAGCTGACTTAATTGTCCTAGCCGGTGAGCTTTGGAATAATGTCTGAAGATATACAGAAAAATTTGATTTTTGTTATAATTTAGATATAATTTTAATTTATGCAGATTGTAACTTGAAAAAACTTGATATTTTACTTCACAACATTTTGAAATTATTTATTCTTCATTACTTTGCTCATAAGCAATAATTATAAATCAGGTTTTTATGATAAAATTAATTTTAAAAGGATCATTTCTGCAATCTACAGGTGCAGTATGTGATTTTCGGCTAAGCTATGGGCGAGTGTTTCCTAGAAAAACAAAAATCATATCCATTAATCGGGATAAAGATCAATTATTGAAGGTATAAGAATATGATAAATTAAAATTTTCTTTAAAAGGTTTTTCAGCTATTACCTTTAGTCATTACCATTACTAATGTGATACAACAACAATAGATGTATGAAGTGTCTTATGAGCTTATAAGAAAATATATAAATTAATACTGATTTCTATACTATAAGTAATAGCACTTCATTAATTTCACAAATTTTTATTCATTAAAAAACTGCATATTGAAATGTATCATTTAGAAACTTATATTTTTATTGTGATGAGAAAAATACTAAAATTTCAAGACAAACAAAAGCTTTTTTAAAATAAAAATTAGTTCTCTTTTCTATGTGGAAATGCTTGGTGTCATAGTAATTAACAGTAAAATTTATGCTCTTAGAACTCAGACATGTTTTGGAAACCTACACTTGCTGTGCAGTCAGATGTTGCCAGCTTTCTTGTCTCTGTCATTGGTAAATTGAAAGGTTACAAGTGTGATCCTGATTGGGTTAAAACATTACAAACTCGGGATCAAGAAAAAGAAGCTGCCAATGTGTAAGTCAATATTTCTTTTTCTCTAAGGCTAGCTCATGTTAAGGAATAAAATTAAGGATTTTTTTTCCATTTTTACAAGACACAAGCTTTGATTTAAGCATGTCTTTACCAAATAGAGAATTTAAAAATTGTAGTAAAAAAACGGATAAAATAGTATCTCTTGAATTTGTTTTAATTGTTCATTAGATGAAGATCTAAAGTTAAAATAATAGGTTGTATATGTATTTTGAGCTTTAAAATTTTTTAAAACATTTATTGCATAGTAATTCTTTTTATAGCCAACTTAAAGTTTCAAAATTATAAATAATTTGAAAACTGCAATGTATTTTTCTGTTCACTAATTACCAACAGAATTGTATTAAATTTTTTTAGGGCCAAATGCTCAGAAGTGACAGATGTGCATCTGAACCCTGTGAAGGTACTTCATGCTGTAGAAAATGTTCTTTCAGATGATGCTATTCTGGTAGCAGATGGTGGAGACTTTGTTGCAACAGCTGCATACATTCTAAGGTAACCATTTCAATGCTATCACTATCAAATTTTGTTTCTATATTGTAATTACATTATCATGCTGTTTAGTTGCTGTTGCATACTTTGTTAGTCGTCAGATTGTAAAGACACTCTGTTCACCATTTCATCACAATTCATTTTAGATATATTTTTACATTTTAATAATTTGCCAAGTTATTCATTTATATGCACCATTCTGGAACTTGAGTTGCCTTTTTTTTCTATATTGATCTTTCCAGTGATGATTTTTTAAATTATATAAATTATTACTTTTGTTTATTTTAGTTAAACTTTTAAAAAATACTTAATATAAATTTATAAACCATGTTTTGTTTTACAGACCCAGAGGACCCCTCCGGTGGCTTGATCCAGGAGCCTTTGGTACATTGGGAGTCGGGGGAGGTTTTGCTCTTGGTGCTAAACTTTGCCGCCCTGAGTCTGATGTTTGGATTATTTATGGTGACGGGTCACTTGGATACAGTATTGTTGAGTTTGACACTTATACAAGACACAAGGTAGTCCTTAGAGCTTTGTTTGCAGTTCATGAGGTTAACTACTTTTAAGATTAAATGATTGTTTTTGAATATACATTTGTATCTGTTTAAGATTCAGTAATAGACAACATTACAAATTACTTTTCTTTATTTTTTTGTTATGTTACATTAGCCTGTTATTCTGCTAGTATTTATAGCTGCTGACATTGCATTTAAATTTTGAGCAACCTTTTAACTGTGTTCCTTTTTTTTCTTGCCTCACCTGTTTTTCTTTTATCTGCTGCTGTTTATCCTTGCTTGACATCAATTAAATTAAGTTTTTCCCTTTGAGTACTAGAGTGATTTTATTGGTAGACTGACTTTTAGAACTCACTTTAGCTTTATAAAATTACTTATGCCCTGTCCCTTTTTTTTATATCTGGTACTATCCCTCCTTGCTTGTCAACAATCTAAATTTGTATACACCTGCTAGATTTTACTCTCACATGAATTGACTTTAAGAACTTCTCGTATTCAAACGTATGCACACTAGTTTGTTTTTTCTCTTGAATTGGCAGTTTTGTGTGTAGGAAATGTACAGTAAGTTACATTATTTATTTTAATTTACAGACACCTATACTAGCTGTTGTAGGAAATGATGCAAGCTGGATGCAGATTGCTAGAGAACAAGTCCCTATGTTTGGTACCGATGTTGCCTGTAAATTGGAGGTCAGTTCATGAAACAGAGAAAAACAATATTTTGAAACATTTAAAAAAATATTTCTAAAATTTCCATGTATTTTAAAGTTGATAGTACACATCTATTTTTATTATGAAAATGACTATTTTATTCTGATTTCTACTCCAGTTTTGTAATTACGAAACGGCAGCTGAAGGCTTGGGTGGTAAAGGCTTTAGATTGGACCGCACTAATGAAGGTGAGATGGAGAAAGTCTTGCACAAGGCACTAGAGCTCAGCCGGTCTGGAAGTAGTGTCCTCATCAACGTCCTTATCGGAAAGACCAACTTCCGTGAAGGCAGTATTTCTGTTTAATTTTTTCATTAAAAAAAACTTTTGGAAGTATAGGGCTTTTATAAGCCTAGTTGTTATACGTTCATTCAAACTTTTTACCTTTTTTTTACAAATCAATGAGAAACTGATACTTTTTGAATTGCCTTCATTGTGTAACCGTCCCAATCATGTATACATTATTTATTCTTTGTATTTGTTAAATGTGATTATATACACAAACATGATGTGCCATTAAAAAATTAAACAGACATTATTTAATCTGTAAATGCAAATTTTAATAAACTTTACAATAAATCACTGAAATTAAATTATAGTTTAATTTGTATTAATTACCTTTTCAATACATAATTCTTATTTTTCTTTTTATTATTTCAATCCCTTTTTTCATAAAAATGTAATAATAATTTAAAATTTGTAATTTATCATTATAATTGTTATGTAGGAGTAATTTTAAATAAAAACTGTATTGCATTGTGATGTTGTTTACAAAGGAATGAGCATCTAATATTTTAAATCTAATTTTGATACCTGGTTTATCAATTTAATGTTGTCTTAAATAAAACTTGTTTCTTCTGTGTCAAATTTTTAACATAGACCCCATTTTTAATTTTCAATATTTAAATTGTTTTGTTTTAATATCATAAGAAATCTTGATTGCCATGTTATGATGTATTCAGCTATTTGCTTGAAGGGTTAAGTTTTTCAGTCAACACTTAGTTGCAGCTCAGGAAAAAAGGGAAATAGAAAAATGGAATTTATGTAAATGATATTGATATTTCATAAGCAAATGATATACAATTCCATCTAGCGGCTATTTCTGACTTCAATTTATAATAGTCTGAAATACTTTAAAGTACTTTGTACTTCTTTTAAATTCTATTGTGTAAAATTATTTTAAAAGGTGTAAATTTACAAAAAAAAAAAAAAAAAAAAAAACCCAGTGTAATTAATCAGAATCTAATTTTGTTAGTTTTAAAATTAAGTTCATGTCAAATATGTTAGTAGGCCTGTTTTATTTCTTTTTGTCTAAAAATTTAGAAGCAAGTGAAAACCATTTGTTTTGCAATCTTTGAAATAAAATTGTTGAAGTACACTCTAATTGAAATCAGATTTTTTTGTTGAAACTGTAGTAATTCTATAAAACTAGTTGCAAAATTTAACTAATAACATTAAATTTTATACTCTAGCGCCCACTGCACTGTAGTGGTAGTGTTATTCTACATTCCAGTTTTTTTCAATGATTTTATACATTTTATTTACAACTTTTTGTATGAAAATAAAAACAATCAGAATTAAATATGTAGGCCTACTGTTTTTTCTTCTCCCGTTTGTTTAGATTATTAAAAATAACAAATAAATTTTAAATCTTAGACTAATTGGATCACTTAATACTAGTAAAAAGTGAAATACCCTTTAGAACCTGATGATCCATGGGGAAGATGAAATAAATTTCACTTGTTTCTGTGACCTCGGCATATGAAGAGATAATGTCAGCACTATGCCCAGCCGCCTTTACTTTCCGTAACATAAGTCAGGTACCTATTAGCGCCGAGTGAATTAGTGGTGTCTTACAGACTTGAGCCCAGGATTCAAACTTGCGATTTTCAAGTTAGCAGTCATAGTCATACATACTACCCGCTCTCCAATACTTGATGTGGATTAGCTCCAGATAAGCCCCGCCACTAATGAAAAATGTGCATGGGCGAAGAGCTAAGCCCTTATTTCTGATGTCTAGACATTTGAATATTTAAACACAAGCGATAAAAACAACCCAGTCAGCATGCCTATATTGGCCTAATATATTGGCTAAACATTGGTTACCAATATTGGCTACATATTGGCCCAACCTTGCCTAACATTGGTAGTGAAACTTGGCAAGATATTGGCTCAATATTGGTTCTATCATGGTTACATCTTGGCCCAATATTGACTATATCTCGGCTATACCCTGGCGCAACCTGTGTTATCTCCTGGCTATATCTTGGCTCAAATTATTATTTTCAACAAACAAGAAGATTCATTCTCATATCAGTCATCATATTTACAAAGTAAATTACAAAATGTGAAACTTTAAGTTTAATCAAAATATAGTAAAGCAGCAGTACTGAAAAAAGTTCATGAATATACATGACAAAATACACAACCTTTGAATTTGTAATACCAACATTTTAGGCCTAGATCCTTGTGTTATTGACTATCTCTTTAAAAAAACAAAACAATGCAAATAATCAGTTTGTAAACACTTTTCCTTTGTAATATCTGACAATTTTCCAGTTCCAAGAATTCCTTTCAGTGGCGTAGCTAGGTCGGGTGTCACCCGGTGCGGCATTTTGTGGTGTCACCCCCCCCCCAAAAGCAAAGTTTATATATATATATATATATATATATATATATATATATATATATATATATATATATATATATATATATATATATATATATATATATATATATATATATATATATATATATATATATGTGTGTGTATGTGTGTGCGTGTGTGCATGCGTGTGTGTGTAGTATTGTTTTCTCTATAGTTAGCACGTTAACTTCATGGTGTTACCCCCACCCCCTTGTAATAATTATTGATTTGTACTTAAAAGACTATTTAATTTTAATAATTCATTAATGGAACTGGCAAAAAGGCATTTTTGTTCTGTACATTTTGCAATATTTTGCCTTGGTGTCACCCCCTTAAATGATGTCATCCGGTGCGGTACGCACCCCCCGCCCCGCCCTTGCTACGCCTCTGAGTCCTTTAGACACTGTTTTTTTTTAATGTATAAGATTAAGGGTCAATGTATTTTCGCGTTACTCTTTCGTCACTTTATTCAAAGCAAACGGCGATAGTCTATAATTGAATAATACTGTCACCTCCACCGTACCTCATTTTCATGGAGGGGGTACAACCTAGTGTTTTGTGTCGATGAATTTCGTGTGTCAAGAAATGAGACAGGATACTTCTTTTTTACTTCTCAAAAGTAAATAAAGACATTACAACTATCGCTGTAGTTATGGCTATTTGTTTATTTGATGCAAAGGATGTGGAACTTTTTAACATTATTTTGGGGGTCGTGAAGAATTGATAAAACAGAAACGGGGTAAAATCCGGTAAAAAAAAATTGGGTACGACTACCCCCTACTCTTCCAGTTGCTTTAAGTCCTTTTAACGAGGTTATTGGTCAAAATACTTTATATTACAAAAGAGTTATAGGCATACATTCCAGTTTATAAATTCTACATCTATTTTTGTTACCAACAAATTATTAAATTAATCTTTTTAAAAAAAAACGGCATTTGATCTAGATAAAAACCATAATAATTGTTTACGCCAATTTACGGTTAAATACGGGACCTTGTGCATAGCAGCCGAATAGTTGACATCATGGCGGCCAGTGGAGTAAACATGTTTAAACTAGGAATATTATTGTATGTTGTGAGTTATTTAATTGCAATTAGTGTTAGCCAAACCACAACCCAAAATACTACAGATGCCGAGAATACAACTACAGCTCAAACCACAGTAAGAACCTCTACTATAACAACTACAAGAGCGACCACCACCACAACAACGGTAGCACCAACTCTTCCTGGCACCACAATTCCAGCCAACACAGGTTTGACATTGCAATATCGCTATGTTCAGAATCACCATTAGTACTAGACAAGATTTATAATTGAGTAGCAATACTCACTAAATTTTAAATTGATTTGAGAGTTCATCTTGACTTTAAATTATTTAATTTTTGGATAGACATAGGCATGCCAGAAAAGTTCTTCATTGAAAAAACTATGTTTTATGCACAAGCCAAAAAGATAAGAGAAGGCAGGAAGTTGGGGAGAGGGAAGTGGAGGTATGACAGTCACAGTGCAATGTGATAAGTTGTCGTCACTGAAAGCTATTACTAAATCTACTATTAGATCTATGTATTGGGTGAATTTGCCGTTTTCATATATAGAAATAATAAAATGTTTATGACAAAATCAGCTTCAAACAAGATTTTTTAAATTATTATATTTAAAAAAGTTTAAAGTGGACATAACTTGTTTTAAAAATTAGGTGCAGTTTATTGTTAATATAATAATAGGCCTACTTTTGATTATATCAACTTTTTTTGTAGTTTTCATATGACTTTTTTACAGTATTGGACATAGTAATTCTTATTTATATTTTCAGCAACAAATCAATATTTGAAAAAAAAAACATAATTTGGTTTTGTCCTTGTTGGCACTTGGTAGTGTAGACAAGCAGAGCTTAACTAGGTCATGCTTATGTTCATTTATAGAGATGATTGGGAATTGCTGAAGATGCTTGCACAGTGCTGGTTTTAAAAAGGACAATTCTGGCATTGAAGAAATTTTTTAGAAGAAGAAAATAATATAATAATTAAAGTTTTCAAATCAGCATTTATAACATTTATAAAATTGTTTAAATTATATTTTAAATATATTTGCAGATATAAGCAAATGCCCTTGTGATATGACTGGAAATGCTTGTGATGTAAATTGTTGCTGTGATCCTGAATGCTCTGCAGCTGATAAACTGGTATTTTCTGAATGTCTTCCTAACTCTTATGTGTAAGTACGATGAAATAGATGATGCTTTAATTTTTCACTTAATTATAGCATTTTGCTCACTCTAGTAGGAGGCTATTTTTTCAAGCAGGTGTTTTAAAATTTGATAAGGCCAGTTATATTTTAGTTACCTGATGAAAACTTTTGTTCTTCACCTTCTTTAACTTGCAATGGGGCTTAGGTCATTTTTAACATTGTTCCATGCTTTTCTACCCTTTGCCATTTTTTGCATTTCTTTTTTCCTGTTATATTTCTCATGTTCTTTTCAATTTCCTTATGCAATGTTTTTTTTATCTCCCTTTTTCTTGATCCTTGTGTATGCCTTGTCTGGTAATATATGTTGTCGGTTATATAAACAAATGGCCTTACCATCTCTTATGATAAATGGAGAAGATAAAGCAAATAAGTCTGTAATTGTAGTCAGGCATATAGAGAGATTTGTAGCAAGCACAGTGTCCAGTCATTGTAGTCATCTGCCATCTCTTGAGTACTCATTTGAATTACAGTGGCTCAGGTTTTTGTATGCATCTTTGTTAAATCCTGACATAACCTTGTTCAAACATAAAACACTGGAACTAATATTCACAATCACCTACATTATTTTACCACCAGAGAACATGGTATGCATTTTGCTTGTGTAAGTCAGGCTGTATACAATTAAAAATGTCTTTCACCTATATTTGCTCTCTCCTTATAAAATATTGGTGCACCTAATTCACAAATTACCTTCATTAACTCTCTAGTATCACAATATTTACAACAATTTTCTGTACATTTACAGACTGGATGACAAGCTGTGCTTCAACAAAAATGTTTTCTTGTTTGAAAATGGACCTGCTGCCTCTGGAGATTCCGGAGGGCTTTTCTGCATTTATTTTGATAATGGTAAAATAAAGAAGTCAATTTTAAAAAGTGTATTGCTAAGATGTATATAACTGATCTGTGTATCTTGGATAATGTAATCTATATAAACAGATTAAAAATAAAAACTTTTACAGATATTCGTTTAGCTAATTTGTACTGCTTTTATTAAACATTTAACTTTTATTAGAGGATATGCATTAACTTCTCCTATCATGTCATGTTATTTGATATACATATGTACTTCTGTAAGCACTAACTAATTCACTACATCATACATTTTTTTTTCAGATGCAGAGCGCAATTATTATAGCAACCCATCCTTGGTTAAAACAGAAGCAGAGTTCCAGAAATACGCAGCTCAGTATGGAAAGTTTTCATTCCAGACCCCTGCAGTACCCACCCTGACTTCTCAGATCAAAACTCAATATAAGGTTAGCTTACTGGTTTTATATATGTAATAAAAAATATCACTTGATTTGAATTTTTATATTTTAACTAAAATTGTTTAAAATGCAGGTGAATATGATCAATTTTTTATTTACACTTATGAACTAGACTAGAAGATAAAAATAAATTAGAGCAACCTACCAAAACAATTTTTATAATATACACCAGATATTAAATGGTTCCAGAAAGCTTTTAACAGATTACTCTTAAACATAAATATAATGATCTTAATACATTTTAGAAAATGATTTTCCTTTTCTGTGAGATTTCTTATTTGAACTTTTCTTTGTTTCTTACTACAATAGAGTGGTGACCCAATTTATGTTGTGTTTGAAAATGCATTCAGTTACTTAGGACTTCCAACAGGCCTTTCAGCATCAACACTTTGCACCGATAGCAATCCAGCTGGTAAAAAGTCTTTTGTTATTAGATGTACCTCAAGTGTTGGAACATGTTCAGTATTTGTAACATTGTTGTATTGATTTTTGTATGATACATACTGTGGTTGATTTTATTATCTATGTGTTAAAATTAGAATTTTTGAATTAAGTTATTTTTTGTTAAGTCAAAGGGATTTTATGACACTGGGGAGGTTAAGCATTGTGATGTCACACTGATGCATTTTAAAAAAAAATTTAAATTAATTTTAGAAGTTTTTAAAGCATTTTTAAAGACTTTTGTAACTATAATACAGACTGATCCATTTTCATACTCTTGACCAATTAATAATACAATTGGGGTGGGGGGAAATCAGCAAAATAAAAAGCATACTGACATTTATGAATGATCCTCTTAGCCTAAACCTTAGTGCATTTAAGTAATGTTTTAATATCTAAATTACCCACACTTTGAATGTTTACCAAAATGTATAGTATTACACATTTCTAAAAAAAATTCTGTATTGTTTCAGCCTATTTAATTGACCAATCAAATCAGTGTAGTAGACTTTTGACTCAGTGCTCTAATAATTCAGTGTTTCAAGCAGCGACCTTCTACACAGGATTAAAAATTTTGAAGGTCAGTTTCTAAGGCAGGATTGAGTATTGCAAGATTAAACCTGTATAAATACAAGTTTCTATACTGTACAAAACAGATTGGAACATTTAAATGAATGTATATCTTATTTAATAAAATGAACCTTTGTTGCCACCTGTTTGAGTTGTGGTTGAAAAACACTGACTTGTGTTTGTGCAACATGTATATCCTCTGTATTAATCTTCTCTTGTTATCTCTCTTTTATAAATCAACAAGACTAGTATAATAGATTAACTAAAAAACAAAATCAAATGTCATTCTGTTATGAATATGTACATTACTGTATTAATATGTGAGTTCTTGACTTTCAGGATCCAACAGTGCTTATTTCCCAGAATTCAACAACAGGTACATTTATTTGTAATACACCATTGTCTCTTTTAAACAGTCGTTTTGTGCATTTTTAAATTTATTAGCTTATATTATTTTAATTTAATCTTTTAATTTTTATTTTTAATAAAGCGAATTTGAGTTTTAAAATTTGTTTATAATTAAATAGGTCCAAGTATTTCTAATGTGACTAGCCTCTACAACAGCACCTATACGGCTAGCATTGAGTTAGATGTCATAGATCCTATCCTGTGCATACAAAATGGAATTCTGGGTAAATGTGCTTTCAGTGTACCACCATCAGCACCCACTGCATCATCTAGCAACAGCTGTCTAAACACAGTAGTGCAGGTACACATTTTTAAAAAATAAATTAGTTATGTTGTATATGTAGATTACAAAATTATAACTATTTAAAAATTTCAAGAGTAGAGTATTGAAAAATTAAATAATATTTTTTTTAAAGAAAATTTAAAAAAATTTAATTTGTTTATTTGTTATGATACAAGTTAGTTATTTTAAAAATTCAGGAAACATTTCTGTTTTTAACTTACTTGAATCATAATTATCATCTCTAGTGATCAAAATGATTAATTTAATAGTCATTAAATTTAAAAAAAAGCTTAATGTAATATAAAATGTGAATGTGCTTGCTTTTATAAATGGTATGCATATTCACAGGTGAAGTACAGATTTGTAACAAATGCCAAATTTGACCTGGATAAAATCTATGTTAGTTTTGTTTTTGCTGATGTTCCCATCTCTAGCTATGTTCAACAGACTTTTTCAACAACTTTTACCAAAGTAAGAATGATACCTATGCCAACCACTAATTAACTGAATAATATCATGTATTATTAAACAATTGTTGTGTAGCCATATTTATTAAGATCTTACAGCATTACTGCATGCCAGAAAATGAGAAGTGTTTTAAAAATTGGAAGAATTTTTTTTTTAGGTTTCTGCTAATGGCACCACACCTATAGCTCGTAGTGGTAACCCTGGTTACAAGGTTGGTCTGCCTATCACTGCTGGCATTTTAAACAGAACAGTAGAAGGAACCCTAATTGAGTATCCTTTACCATTAAGTTTATTTTTCTATATATCAAAAGAAAAAAAAACAACAGCTACAAGTAATTTGATGTGTTTTTATTTGTATATTTAAAAAAAAATGTCTTTTAAAATATTTGCTGGAAAAAAAAGTCTGTTATTGAGGTTTTTTCTTCTGCTATTTGGCTTAAGAATAATAATAATAATAGGGACTGTTAGCATTAGGGTTAAAGTTAGAATTAGGATATATAGTATACTTTTTAAAATAAAACCTTTAGTGAAAGTGAAAAATCTCTTTAACACAATAACTAGTGACAGGATATTGGTGAATTCCGAGAACCAGCACCTTGCTCTTGTCAGACCATCTGTCAGTGGTGACTGCCTGACAGATTCTGCCAATCAGAGAGAGCCTATTCTGTTTGGTCAGGACATGCGCACTGGATGTTTCATACAGTAAGGATATTAAAATTTGTGTAAGAGGATGTTTCATACAGTAAGGATATTAAAATTTGTGTAGGATGTTTCATACAGTAAGGATATTAAAATTTGTGTAGGATGTTTCATACCGTAAGGATATTAAAATACGTGTATGGTTTGAGTGGTAAAAAGTACCCTCCCAGACCTCCTGTTTAAGAGCACAGGATTTTTCATATTGTAAGGATATTAAAATTTGTGTAGGATGATTCATACAATAAGTGTATGTAAGTAAATAATTGTAGTGGTTGAGTGGTAAAAAGTACCCTCCTAGACCTCCTGATTATGTGCACAGGATATTTCTTTCAGTAAGGATATGAAAATAAGTGTATGGTTTGGGTGGTAAAAAGTACCCTCTCAGACCTCCTGCTTATGTGCACAAGATGTTTCATATTGTAAGGATATTAAAAATGTGTGGGATGTTTCATATGGATATGTAAATAATTGTAGTGATTGACTGGTAATAAGTACCCTCTCAGACATGATTATTTATAAAGCAGGTGAAGTAGAGTTCATGTGTTTTTAAAAAAAAAAAACTCTGCACACAAATGGATTGTGTGTTCAACACTCTAACCATTTGCTGTAGAATTTTCACTTGCTAGTCCAAAATTCTCCAGTCAAGTTTCTGGGCTTGAGCTGTGAGTTCATCCAGCTCTTATCGGTACCTGACTCCAGTCTGTCTGAGATAGTACTTTTCTGCAAATCTTTTTAATACAATGTGTTATAGAGTTTAATGTAATATACGCTTCAAAGGTAGTTGAATATTTTACAGTTTAGTTATTTTAATTACCAGTTTACGTTAATTTCATTGCATTCTTTAATTTAATCACAAATTTGAATATATAGAATATATCTTCCTTAAACTATATTATTCATAAATTCGAATAGGCCTATATAAAATATACTTTCCTTAAACAGTATTATTTATAAATATTACGGTGTTTTAAGACATTAAAAATATGATGCCTTTTTATTCAGTATTATAATATTTTCAGAGTTAAAAATATGATGCCTTTTTATTCAGTATTATAATATTTTCAGAGTTAAAAATATGATGCCTTTTTATTCAGTATTATAATATTTTCAGAGTTAAAAATGTGATGCCTTTTTTGTTCAGTATTAAAATATTTTCAGAGTTAATGTCAGCAGTGACCTGGCCAAATGTCAGTCTCTCCAAGAGGCCATCATTCAAGCCATAGAGGGCAGCACAGCCCCAAAGCTTGATGACACAACCAAAGAGTATCCCAAAACCAATCTACACGTTGCAATGTTTGGTAACTCAGAAATCAGTATGACAGGGGATTGGGTGGAGGTTTTGTATAACAACAGGCCTGTGCCGACAACTGTAAGTTAATAAGGAAAAATTAAATTATCATTTTTAACACGCCGATCTAAATGGCAGATGAAGTAGAGTTCATCAAATTTTTTTAATGTTAGCATATGAAAAGATACTGTGTTCAGCACTATGCCTAGCCGCTTTTACTTTCCCTAATGTGAGTCAGGTACCAATCAGAGCTGGGTGGACTCAGGGAAGTCCTACAGACACGAGCCTGGGATTCAAACTTGAGACTTTCAAGTTAGCGTCCATTGCTCTACCATTCAACCACTCCATCCCATATGTAACTGAAGGTTCAAAATATATATTTAAAAAATATCTCATATTGAACATGAAATAGAGTTCATTTGTTTCTCTCGATATGTGAAGGCATTGTGTGGTCCGCACTGTGTGGAATTACTTTTTCTTTCTTGAACTCTAATCAAATTTCCATCAGAGCTACATAGTCATAGGAAGATCTTATCAATACCAAACTTATTACATGGGTTGGCAAATAAAAAACACAGATTTAGAACTTATAAACAAAACTATTTTAAATGTTTAAAATTTTTAAATTTTTAACAATATTGCAGCAAGCATCAACAAGTTGTTCACTCTCTTTGGGTGCCAACCTACAGATTCTCTATGCCAAAATTGGCTCCCTTCCAAACCCACAACCAAAAATTATTGGAGTTACGCTTGTTTATGACACCAAACAGGTGGTTGCTTATAAAGTAAGTTAAAAAAAACTTTACAATTAAAAACTAGTACTCTTTTGTTTATTTATTTCATAAAGGTCTATATATTAAATTAAAAGAGTTTTAAAATTCAAAACCAGTATTCTTGTGTTTATTCATTTCATAAGTGATTAGATTAAGTTTGTTTTAAAAAAATTGTGCCATTTAAAAAAAAAAAGATTACACATGTAGCTGTATAATGAGAGATAATATTTCCAAACAATTTTGTCATTGTAATATTTTAAATTATCAGGGTTGTAGATAAAAAGTATTATGAAAGTTGTATATACATTTCAACTTATAGATATCTCCTAACGTTTAGTTGTAACCTTTTCACTTTTTTTTTTCAGTAATAGAATTTAATGTTGGCTGCTAAGGAAAAATGTTAATAAGCAAACGCTTTCCTTTATTTATTTTAGAAATGATTGCATTGTCATGGTCTGCTTAATCTGTGATATAAGATTTAATAGTAGTTTTCTAAAGAAATGTGGCATTTAATAAATGGCAGCAGTTTTTTAACAATTAAAAGTTAATGAAGAGTATGTTTAAATTTTTAAATTATTTATATTATTTATATTCAGTAACTTATTTTGTCAACAAATTTGTTTAAAAATCTCATATATATATATATATATATATATATATATATATATATATATATATATATATATATATATATATATATATATATATATATATATATATATATATATATATATATACATATATAATAAATGTTTATTGTATGATCATGGTATATTTGTTTCAAGTCAGAAAAACAGCTTGGTTAACATTTTTAAAAGTTTGTATTAATTTTAAACTTCTTTCCTTACAGTGTTCTGGCCCATACTGCCAACAAGGTTCATCTTCACTCTCTCAGAAAGTAGAGATCAGCAGCTCTGTGACCTTCATTGATGTATCTCTGCAGCCCACAGCAGTGGAGGGGAAGTACCCAACCTTTGCCGTCCGGCTGCCGTACGACTTCTTCTACCCTTTCCTGAACTCTGCTACAAATGTTGTACCTTCCGCTTTATTCAAGTGGATGTTGTGTTTACTCAGTGTAATTATTCTTGTTTTGTAGGGTAAAAAATATTTTGTATACAAACTAGGTAAAATTGTCAATTTAAAATTACTTAAACATTTGATACAGTCTTCCTATTATATTATTAGCAGATATTTTGTAGATATTTTTTTCCCCGTAACTCTCATAATATGAATCAAAAGCTACATTAACCAAGGCTGTATTAAAGAAAATTACTTTGTATACAAACTAGGAAAAATAATTTAAACTATTAATTATAAATTACTTAAATATGTAGGCCCTATAAATTCTTCCTATTATTATAATAATATTATTATCAGCTGTCACCATGAAGATTTTCTTTCCATAACTCTCATAATAAGAGGGTACTAAAGGAAATCGCTCCTGCTAGGGGTAGACTTGAGTGTTTAAACAGCGCAAGACATAGAAAGTGGCCATGTTAGAATTTAATTTTCTAATATTACCCCACTGTTCTTGGCCGTCCACCGTCATTCCTCCCAGTGGCCCAGTCAGCCAGTGGCCCCGGCACAGAGATGTTACCCTGGGGTAAATACTTACATACATCAACAGAAACCGAGCTTTGATATTACCTAAAATGTATCATTTTTCACATCAAGTGAGCTATTTGATTTGCCCATCTTAAACCTATTATGCCACCAAAAGATTGAGGGAAAAGTGAACCCTAGCTGTAAAGGGGTAAAAAACATTTTGTATATTTTTGTAGTTTTATTTCATTTTATTGGATCTTAAGTGAATTTCATTCAATTTGTATGAATCTTAATGTTATACAACATAAAATATTGTGAATGAAAAACATCTGTGATTATACAATTATTAAAATTATTGTTTGAATCAGCAAACACTTACTTTTTACAAAGTTTGTATTGCATAATTATTCATGTTTGTAAAATTCTTGTGAAGTTATGTTTTATAATATCTTTTTTATGTATTCTAGAAACATAATGACTAACCTTTATGCATTCATATAATTCACTATAGACCTTAAATGTCAAATATGCAAGCAATTATCTGATGTAACTTGTATTTCAGTCCTTAGTGCACCCACATCAGACTGTTTATTTAAGTAACTTTACACTCATCATCTTTAAGTCTGTTAAACCCTTTATAACTTATAAATAAAATAAAACACCTGATTTTTGTCCCCCTTTTCCCAGCTCACCTTCTTGTAAATTTGTTACTTCATGTAAATTTGTTAATGCTCTAAACATTAATTTCTATCTATTAATTAAGTTTTTCCGTTTTTTGTTTTTTTAAAAGTAAATATTAAATATTTTTATAATAATGCCTTTTCTCATAATGTAAATAATCAAGGCAATGTTATTACTCTCCGTCCAATATATACAATTTGTTCTGTAATTTGTTTGGTTGGTCTAACTGCAAGAATTTGCTTTCAGAATAAAGGATAGATTCATTTTAGTTTTTAGTGGTGTGACAGTCATAATAAATATAAATTATTTTCTTTTATAACTTGTAGATACGTATTTATAACATTCCTCAAAAAGTATGTTTAGAATTACCTTACTTAGAATATTATTATTTTATGGCATAATAGTGATGAAAATTAGTTTGTACATATTTTTATACTTACAGTTATTTTCATTATTAAAAAAACATTTAATGTTTTTTAAACATTTAATGGTAATTTGTAATTATCTTACTGCCTATGAAGTTGAATTTTTTAAACAATCAGTTTTTTTCTTTAGTTAAAGATTTATGTTTAAATAAATTAAAACAATTGTGATATATTGTGTTCCTTTATTGTGTCAATATTTGTTAAAAATGTTTTGTTAAGAATCACTTTATGCTTCAATAAAAATGAAGGATGGTAAATATATCATTCAGAACTGAATCAAATATACAATTAAAAAAATATAATGATTAGTGCTTGAAAAAAAATTATGTTGCCATAATATCGGTTAGTCTAATAATTTAAAATCTAAAATAAAATGAAAAATTATAAAACTATGTCATCAATAGTAGTTGACAATGGTTTTATTAACATGTCGAATAAAAAGAAATCATTCCATGTATTCTTTCAAATAACCTAAAAGGTTAACATAATTATTGTTTGTTTTTAACAACAGCAATTTAAATAAATCAATGTATGGCAGCAAAGATGACAAAGATTCAACACAAAATTATTTTATAACATAACAATGTTAACAAATTTCAAGGTAATAAAATGTTTGATACTAAATGAGATGCAGTAACTAGATTGATTGATAATCACAGCTTGCTTTAGAAAGAATATAATGCAACCATATTTTAAGAACACAATGGGTTTTTTCATTGCATAATACAGATATTCCTTGTTAGTAAAATCTAGCAACTAATTTACAGTTTCAATCAGCCCTGAATCTGATGCAAAAATAGTAAGCAATCAGATCCGTTTTTATTATCTTCATTCCATCATCATTGTGTGTGTGTGTTACAAAAGCATTGAAAGTAAAACAGTTTATTTTTGTAAATGCTAAGTAACCTACAGTGTAATTGCCAGCAAAATCAAAAGAACATTTATATAGGCCCTACATTTTGACACAGTGTTTTCAAAAGTGCTTAGATTCAAGTGTATACAATTGTTAAATATGGAATATATTTCTACTCTACAGGTTCGATTGACTGAAACCATTTTGCTTTAGATAATTAATGAGTAGTAATGAAGTGAATAGTAAAAAAACTAACATTCATGAATGAAGTTCGAGCTGGAGCTTAGAAACCTACTTCTAGTATATGATTGATGAATCTATGTTTAAGGAGGATCAATAATAGTTTAATTAAAATATCACATTGTTCAGGTACATTAGATATATAAAGGAGTAAAATATTTTAAAAAGGCACATAGAGGATGCACTTTTAGGTGAAAGATCCACAACAGCTAAAAACTGAGAAATGAAGTATGTACCAGAATACATGGATAGTTTTGAAACATCAGTGATGTAGAAACAAATAACATTGTTAACGTTATCATTTTAATTAGAGTATTTTAATTAAGTACAAAAGTAAAAGTAAGATAGTCTTTTTTTTTTAATAACATGGAGGTTTTTTTTTAGTAACATCATTGCACATTTATGATCACTTTTTGTAGAAACATTTATAACTAAACAAGATTTGTAGGCAAATGTCATAAACTCCTACTCAGAAATAAACAACAACTTTTTAAACTAATGAATCCCTAAAATCTTACATGGAATAGCTAAAGGGATTAAGAACCAGAATTTAGGGATACAACACATACAAATTACATTTTGATATATGATGTGATTAATGGCCACAGTATGCTTAGTGAAAATATCAAAATATATAATTTAACCTAAGCAACAGGATTTGAACTTAAACAGAGTCAATAAAAACTCAATTTAATTATAATATTGTGATTTTGATAGTTTTATCATATAAAAGAAATTAATTTAAAATAAATCATGGAGTATTAGCTATTTCAGTGTGTGTTTTCTGAATTCGTTTTAGTTCATGATACATTGCAACAACTAACTTCTTTTCTTCAATGGGGCCTAACAGATGATCTTCTGATATAGCACGTTGGGATGCCTTGTCCAATGTTAATCGAGGTGTTTCATCAGGTGGGGTTATATGAAAGCCATTTAGTAACATATCATTTACTAAGGCAGTGGCTGCTTGCATGGTATTCACTTTCAAGTCCTGTTTTTGTTGTTGTTTTTTAATGTCTTCAAGCAGTTTTTGTTTGTTTTTGTCCACCTCAGAATGGTCCTGTTGTGGATTAGTAAAATGAAAATATCTCTTAAGACTTGTAATAAAAGAAAAAGGTAATATTGTATTAAATACTAGAAATAAAAGAAAAAGGTAATATTGTTTTAAATACTAGTTATAAAAGAAAAAGGTAATATTGTATTAAAAACTAGTAATAAAAGAAAAAGGTAATATTGTATTAAATACTAGTAATAAAAGAAAAAGGTAATATTGTATTAAATACTAGTAACAAAAGAAAAAGGTAATATTGTATTAAATACTAGTAATAAAAGAAAAAGGTAATATTGTATTAAATACTAGTAATAAAAGAAAAAGGTAATATTGTATTAAAAACTAGTAATAAAAGAAAAAGGTAATATTGTATTAAATACTAGTAATAAAAGAAAAGGGTAAAATTGTATTAAATACTAGTAATCAAAGAAATTTAAAAACCAGAATAAGGTTTAATTCATTAATGTTGTCAAACACCTATCTATGAAGTTGTACACACACTCGTAGCATGGTGCTAAATGGAGGATGGGGTGCAAAATGCACATGGGATTTATAGTTGTTTTTGAGAGTTAAGGTGCTGAAAAAATGTTAATTTTATGTTAAAAATTATGTTTATATTTGGAGAGTGGGAAAATATTCCACTATTTACTGGGGGTGGGGCATAGTGCTGTCCACATTATAATCTTGTATATAGAGAAAATACACTAAAATATATTAACTCTACTTCATCTGCCTCATGTGTCTTAGTCATGAACAGGATAGATGATGATGACTGGGGTTGAGTGTGTTTGGTATTTATGATTACTTTTGATGACAGGGGTGAGAAATAAGAACAGTCTGATAAATTTGATTAATGGATAACTCTATCACTGTGTGATATTGTGAAAATATAAAAAAAATGTACAATGATTGCTTACCAATTTTTTTGAACCCTCATAAGCTCGCATATTTCTTCCAGGCTTTGCTGGTGATTGCTGATAAATAATAACATGGAGGTTACTTAAATAATCTTTAATAATAAGCATTTGTTATAACAATAGTAATTATTCTTCATGGTTTAAATAAAATAGTTTACAAACTCACTGGAGGTTCCACATTTTTTGCTTCCATGTGATCTAATTGCAAATGCAGAGGATTCTAAAAAAAAAAGAGAGATAACTAGTTAAAACTGTTAGAAAACATTGGGGAATAACATTTTCAAATATAATTAAAGTTTACAAGTGTGCTTAAATCAACCTTAAAGAAAATCGGTTCAGAAGATTTTGTAAAATCCAAGTCCGATTGTAAGAGCTCATCTTCAAACTCTGCTGCTTCTTCTGCAAGCATTTCTGAACTCTTTAAAATATGTTTAAATTTGACAGGAGGAAATAATTCTGTTGATCCAGGAGAGAAACTGTTCATTTTAACAACCTTCTCAAAATGGTTTGGTTCAGCCTGAAAATTAAAAACAAAACACGAATTAAATAAATGGGATGTAATACCATACTTGTACATTTTTAGCATAATATTGTAAGTTGATTAGCATAATATTTAATAGTTATTACCATATGAAATTGGCAGATATAAAAAGTTTACATTTTAGTTACGTACCATGAATAACAATTTAAAAAAGTTGATAGATGAGCTTGTTCTATAGTATGCCTGTTACATATTCAATTGTACCCTTGTTTAAATTAGCTTGTAAAATCTATAATTAAAAAAAATTATTTTAATTTAATTGTTACCTTAAAACTAACATGAGATTAACATACTTTACCAACATAAATAAAAGTAATATATTTTTTAAGCAATATAAACAACCAACAATTTTAACAAAACTTAATCATGCTGTGAGGCAGAGTATAAGGACAAGTAATTATTTAATGATTAAACTAATAACCTGTAATTAATTAGAAACAAAATTAACATCAATACACTTATTATGCTTACCTCCTTAAACTGTAGCACAGACATGTTAGTGATTTTTCTCTAATCTTGATAATGTTACTGCTTTTGAATGAAAAGATGTAAAGTATAAAAATAGTCAATGGGCATTACATTTTTATTTCATAAATGGTCAGTATACACACCAAGAAGTGAGGTAGGTAACTGCACTTAAGATAATGTGACTGTGGCACAGGGGGATTACTTTTTGAGCCATTTGACAAATTATTTCAAACTGGGAATTAGCAACTTCCTTTGGTGTATAATTGATGAATGGGCATCTTTGGTGAAGGCACAGTAATCACAATAAAAGTTTCTTTTAGGTATCTTTACAAGAGAATGGGCTTTACTGTACCCTGATGAACTCCACTCTACCCCCCCCCCCCCAAACATTTTACTTTTAGGTGAATAATTAATAATGCATAAATGCCAAAATCAATTAGGCAATTAATAATTGGCAATTAATCTTAGCCATTCTTGACAATTATGAATGTCTGAGTATTTTACTGTGTAGTAATTACTAGTAATGTGCATCTAGACTAGATCTAGACTTAATGAATACAATGTTGAATAGAACAATATATTATTAATTATATAGTATAGTAAAATCTATACCTTGCTAAATTACTAAATTCTATAGGCCTCTTATTTAAAAATAACAACATTGGATTTAATTTGCATATTAAACCATGTTTAAGTACTTTAAAAATAAAATCACTTTTGTTAAAACTTTAAATTAAAACATCAACAGATCTGATAGAGACAACAAGCTTAATGTTAAGTTAAGGCTTAAGCTGCTTAAGCCTGCCTTAAGCCTATTCTATTCATTATTTAATATTTATTAATTCATAATTCGATTCTCAGGGGACCAGCCGTCGCATCGCACGATGTTTACCATGTTTACAAAATGCAAAACAAACATGCATAATAATAATAATACATACATTACATCTAGATCTACAAGTCAATGGCACTGCTTGACCCTACACTTTTAACGCTGCGACAGTGGGCTGATGACTCGGCTCACGTTACTGACGTAAATAATAAAACTTTTATTAAAAGTAGTATTATTCGTAAACAGATAGGCCTAATAATATTTAATAATATTGTAATATAGTAGATATTTCTTTACAAAAAGAATTTTTTAAATTATGTCTATATTTTGATTCTAAGTAGATTTTCTACTAAAGTAGATCTAGAGTCTAGATCTAGATCTATAATTTATTTAGTTTAAAGTTAAAAAACTTTTATTTTCTCTATCTACGAGGTTACTATAGTAACAAAATACAGGGGAGTTAACGCAGTTTAAACATTTTTCGTTTATGAAGTTTATAATAAGCTGAAAATAAAAACAAAACAAATCTTTTTAGTATAGTAGTTTTACGGGGGGGGGGGGGGGGGGGGGTGGGGGGGGGGGGTGGAAGAGGGGGTATTGCATCATTGCAAAGAAATTGCAAATGAAGAAAGAAGAAAGAAAGAGGGGTGGGGATGGGGGTGGGTGACACTAACTTCAAAAATTACAGAAGGAATGAAAAAAGTTTGAATATTTTCAACAAATAAACTGTCTTAAACGTCAATCCGCGACTGGGGTGGGGTTAGACCACATCAAATAATTTACTATGAAACGATGTTTTTCCCCTCGAATTAATCAGTGATTTAATATGTGCACAAACTGACACCATTAGGCTAATTGAGTGGGGGGGGGGACGGGACACAAATCGCAACTTTCACGCTTTCTTTTGACGATTCTTATCTCTCCCTCCCCGTCATAAAAAGCCAGACCCCCCCCCCCTAAAATGATGTCACGCCTTAGCCTACAGCTCCCCCCCCCCCTTCCTGGAATTCGCGGAAAAGCCAAAAAAAAAAACCGCGAAAAAAAAGGTAGTTTTTTGCCCATATCTCGGCAACCAGACCACTTAGCGACTTGAAACATTTACCAATCGATTCCTGCCGTAATTTAGAACAATATTGCCGAAGAAATTTTTAAAAAATATCCTTTCGTTCGGTCACAAAAAAATTAATTTCTTCTAATTTGTATTGGCTAAGATTACTTACAATATACAAATATTTCTAGAAGAAGCGAAGCGGTGAAGTTCCAAACCAAGCACACCGGCTGAGGCAGTCGCTAGTGAGAGGTAACGTCTACTTGTAACACGCTGCCATTGGCCAGACTCGCGCGGGGGCGGGGACTAACTCTGCTCGTCTGTGCAAACATCTACGGGTGATTCGTTCGGTCAAAAAAAAATTAATTAAGGAAATTGCGCTTAAATTGTCACTAGACTTTTTATTAACTTGTTTTAATGCAAAAATGTGAATTCACACCATGTGAACCCCCCCCCCACCCTTTTCATCACACTCCGTCACAAAGTTACTGAGCCCCCCCTCCCCCTCCGAGTGTGAAGTCATTTATGGACGACGCCGAGGTGACTTATCAATGCCACATTCCTTATCAACAGCCTCCGGTATGAAAGTGTGTGTGTGTGGAATGGTTTCATTTCATAGACAAATTTAAAGTGAGACTTGGATTTACTTTGTCTTTTGTTTTACAGTTATCTGTAGATCCAAATCTTATTATCTAAAATTTAAAACAGATAAAAATAAAGATAAAATTTAAAACAAAAAAAAGACAACAAATAGGTATTTACATTTTAAAAATTTTTTGCACTGTTTATTTTATTTTAAGACAGAATGTTGGTAACTGACATAGATCTCATTGTCAGTTTTACAATGTAATATTTTGTTGATGGCACAAATGTAGACATATTTCAATACAAATTTTAATGTTCTTTAACGGCTTATTGCACCTTTAAAAATTCTTTTTTTTTTACATCATTCATCACAAAATGTACTGGAAAAACTTAAAATAGGAAATTAATAACAGCAATTTTAAAAAAAACAACTACCCTTTGATTTTATCCAGTAGTTTTTTTTCCATAAGTATCGATTTAAAAAATAATGGAATTGAAAGAATAAAATGTCAGATCAACTTTTCCCATGTGTGTCCAAGACACATGGGGCTGCCAAAATGTTAGATATAGTCATAATTGATTGAAATATGAAATTTAATTACTTGTTTATATTTATAGTAGCAACAATAGAGTTAATGTGTCAAATGCATGCTAGCAAAAAAAATGTTATTTTTATAGAAATAGAAATCACAGTTTATTTATATTTAATCCATTAACTCTTTTTAAAAGGAGTAACAAATATCAGCATCAAAAATAAAGCTAACTTCTCCAGCATTAATTCAATTAACATTGTAAATATCAATTTCAATAGTATCAGTTTTGTATTATATTTAGAACATACAGACACCATAGGAAAAAGTAAAAAATAGTTGCTAAAACAAAGACAATGTTAAATTTGCCTTTGTTCTGTTTAGGTAATTTAAAGTTAGTACTAATTCTCTAATTTAGATATAAATCTAAACTAAGAAGATGACATTGTTAAAATTCTTTCAGTTAGTGGTCAATATTTTTCCAAATAAATATGGCACCCTTTCTTAATACTTGGAAGAAAAGTCTGAAGAACTTTATGTATTAAGCTTTTTAAGTAGACTTACTTTAATTAAGACAGGTAGACAACGCTTTTAAGTTAGCCATGTGAGGTCTACCATTCAACTAGGCTGGAAGTTAATAGAAAAACAAAGTTAAATGATATGCATCTTATTAATATATATTAGTACCGGTATTTTCATCACAGGTAATTGCAAAATAAGTGGTTTTAAGGACACTTGGTGTAAACACTGATTTATAGATGAGATTCTTTTTTTATACTTTACAAAGACTTTTTAAAATAAAATTTTGTTCTTCAGAAAAGTAGAAATAAATGACATTTAATGACATTTAAAACCCTTTTAGGAAGCATTAGGGCTAGAAACGATTGTAAATATATGGATAGGGCTAATACATAAATTAAAGTTTTATAACAGATCTTGATTCTATCATACTTAACACTTAGATATAGAAAATACCATACAGAATTATTTAAGTTGTATTTAAGACACATCTCATGCATGACTCATAATCTAGACAATTGCAAATTTATATTCACATGTAAATTTTGTGTAAAATTGTTGATTCCCACAGAATAAATATTCAAGTACCAATAATACAAAAACAGATCAACAACAATAGTACCTGAAAAGTATAAAAATAATCTAATTAACAGCCTGTGTAAAAGATTTTTTTACATATTCATGATTGTAATATTGGAAGCACCAAGGATAAACTATAAAAAAAAAGGACTGGTTATTGCATTACAATTATTTGCTAAAAAGAATTAAAGTTAACAAAGTTTCTAAATATATTTTTAGTGAGACTGATTAATGAAAGGCATATTATGTTAATTTTCTAAAATTTAAAAGCTTTATAAAATGACTTAAATAAATAATTTTATAATTGTGTCTCAGCTTTTTGGATACTTTTCATCAAAATGTGAAAGTGTATAAGACAGTTCTAATCTGTCTTCTCCTCTATATCAGATTCTCGCTCTGGCACAAGTCGAACACACAAGACTGATGTGCCTATAGACACACAGCTAGCAAGGAGAACTAGGATAAAACTTTCATGCCATGACATCCATGTGGCCACAGCACTCAGAGGGTAACCAGCTAACACACGACCACCTGAGAAAAATATTAAGAACTTAAATAATTTTTTTTAAAATAAAAAAAATAATTATGAATTAAGAAATATAAAAGAATTAGAAAAACTTTAAAAGGAAAAAATAATGAATCATCAGATCAAAATAAATTTAGTAAATGAAAAGAACATTATTAAAAAAGAGTGAAGAATCACAAAGTATTGAGAAACAGAAAAAAAAAAGACATTAAAATATACAATAAGATGTCAATAACCACTACTGTGCTTACAATTTCCTCCTAGGGTAACTAAAGTATGAGCAGTGCCAGAAAGATTTGGTGGTGCTGTTTCCATTGATGAAACACCCAGAAGAGATATAGATGAATACATTCCAAAACCAACACAAAAGCCAAAAATATTGGTCCAGAACTGCCAACAAATGAAGAAAAAACATATAATTCAATTGGGTTGCCAGATTTCCAACTTAGTTCCATAAGAAATCCTAAAATGTTTACTATCATTGTGCTGCAAAAGTCTGTTTTAATGCTTGAGAAATATAGATTCTACATAGAAAAGAAATGTCTAATTTTCTTTTAATTCAAAAGAGTGGTAAATGTTTTAAAAATATGTAACACATGTATAGTATAACACTTTTATTTTAATCAGATATCTCTAATAATTTAACAAATAATAAAGAGTGCTTTCATTTAAATAACAATTCCAGAAAAGGATTTAAATAAATAAACATAATTATTTTAATCATGGGTACCTCTTTAGTAAATTAACTGAAAAAAAAATTGAATTATTTTGAAGATGACCATAAAAAAAATTTATTGAACTAAACAGATATGAATGTATAGAAAGCAATACCTGAGAAGATTCAGGACTTGTATAAAAAATAAAACAGTACAGCCCAGCCGATTGTAAAATGGTAAGAAAAACAACTATCTTGAGTCTTGATTTTGCATTTTTAGTCCCCTGCGTTAGAAAGTTGTTAAGGTTGGTGAAAATGATGTACACTACTTAAATAAGATTATTGTTGTGTGTATTGTAATGTGATGAATAGTGTGCAATGCATATGATGTTTTCATGTGTTAATTGTGATAAGTGAATATTTGTTTAATTTTGTAATAAGTGTACTGCTAACTTTGGTGTAGTGTTGTAATATTTTCATTTGTGACAAATTAGTGTGCACATGAAATAACTTTTTTTAATAAAAAGCTCATTTAATATGAAGGTTAAACTTTTCTGTTTACCTTTGTAATTAAAAAATCAGAGAGGTAACCAGTTAACAGAGATCCAACAATACCACCAATTTCTTGGCTGCTGATGAAACTTGAACCTTTAAAATAAAATGTAAATTTAAATAAACTAAACCCTTACACCAAAGCTGTGCAAGTATATTTATCATCATGTAAATTGTAGAGCATATATTGATCAGTTTATAAGCCAAAACTCATAACCCATTTCTTCAAAACAAACTTAATAATAGGATTATTAAAAAAAATATTATATAGTACACCACAATAATTTCCACTAAGAAAAGCAATTTATCAAAGCAAAGTTTAATTGTTTCTTTGGTTTTAAAACAATAAATGATAATAATGAAGTATATACCTGCAAGTAATGATTGTCCTTTATTTTTTATAAGATACATTTGTCCCCAATCATTGCAAGCTCCTCGTATAACAGACACAAGAAGATAATTCACACACATGGCCATCAAAAGTGGGTTGGCAAGTGCCTTTATGTTAAAACTTTTAGCTGATGAGAAAATTTTAGAAACATAAAACAAAATATTTATAAAATAGTTAACTTCTGTTACAGAATAAGTAAGGATGACTGTTGTATAAAATATTTTTAAAAAAGTACCAGTACCTTTATCTTTTCTTTCGCTTTCTTCTACTAAATGCTCTTCAGTAGAATTGTGTACAAAAAGAAAAAATACAACTCCTAGTCCTATTGACATTGTAGCTGTAGATAAAATTAAATGTGAAAAAACTGTAAATTACATTAAAGAATTAAAACAACTAAGTTTCATAAGACACAAAATAGATTTTGTCTCTCAATACTGCTTGGAGCCCCAAATATCTTGAGTTTGCTTCCCAGCCTATTTTGGGTAGATCATCGCCGAGCTCAGATGGATTAAGTCTAATACATTTGACTAAAGCACAAGTGAGAAAAGGGAGCGTTACTTCTTTAACCTAAAGACACTTCTTAGAGTTAGGTTGCATATTTAATCGATAACTGATCAAGAGTAACTTGTTCACTTCAACAAGTCAAAAGATACAAAATATTTTACGATAATGAAACAGGCTCTGTAAAAATTATTCCTCTTTAGACCTAACGATCCACTGGGCAGATGAAGTGGAGTTCATATGTTGACCTCGGCATATAAAGGGATAATGTGGTCAGCACTATGCCCAGCGGCCTTTACTTTCCCTAACGTGAGATAGGTACCCACCAGAGTTGGGTGGACTCAGGGACGTTCCATTAACTTGAAACCGGATTCGAACTCAAAACTATTGGGTTAGCAGTCTAGCCATCCACCGCTAGGCCATGCCATCCCATTAGTGCTAATATAAATTGATACCAGCCAACATGCTGAGGTCATTGAAACTGATAAGCTCTAATTCATTCACTCTATGGACTGTCTAGTCTGACAATTTACTTAAAAAGGACCTACTTTGTTTTGTTTAAAAGTGATAAACATACCAGCTAACAGCAATGACATTTTCCAGCTAGTGTAGCTAACAATAAACTGAGATATAAATGATAAACATACCAGCTAACAGCAATGACATTCTCCAGCTGGTGTAGCTGACATTGAACTGAGATATAAATGATAAACATACCAGCTAACAGCAATGACATTCTCCAGCTGGTGTAGCTGACAATGTACTGAGATATAAATGATAAACATACCAGCTAACAGCAATGACATTCTCCAGCTGGTGTAGCTGACAATGAACTGAGATATAAATGGTCCAGCCGTGCCTGCCACATTAGCAGACGTGGACAAAATGCTCCACCATGTGGCAAACTGATCTGCTGGGAAATTCTAAGCAAAAAAAAAAATTATTTTATTTCATAGTTTTTGAGAACTGACGATGTTGCAAAAATAATGAAAGATGAGTTTAAGTTGTATACTAAGGTCTCATTAAAGGACAATAATAAATCTAAATTAGATTTTAAACTGTATTTTAATTACAAATGATAGTAAAGTAATTGTACTGTGCTTTTTCACAAATATACGTTTTAACATAAAATGGTAATGGTAAGGGAGTCTCATGTATTTTGAATCATAGATTTTTAGGATTGTTTGCTAATAAATCACTTATGTGAAGTCTGGGAATATTTTTAACAAAATATTAATTCATAATTCTTTCTGCGTTCTAGTTAAAAAAAAAATCAAAATCAAAGAAAGTAGGCTCACTGTAATATTATATGTAACATAATAATATAAGCTTTTAAGTCAGTGACAGCTTACATAAAAGCAGGCTATTTATATGTAATTATAATTAATTAGGTATTTGAATGAAAGTATATATATATATATATATATATATATATATATATATATATATATATATATATATATATATATATATATATATATACAGATAAGTATAAATTCATTTTTTAAACATTAAAAATATTTACAAACACTAAAATTAATTTTACATTTTTTACTTAGCTATGGTGAGAGTTATAATAAGATATTCTAAAATACAGCTAAAGCTATAGAAAAGGCTTACTTGTTTTAATAGAACAGCACAGGCTGACCACGCAGGGCCTTGAGCCATACCACAGAGAAACCATAGTATAACAAAGTATGTGACTGATGAAACAGCTGGTAAAGGAAATGGTTAAAATCAAATATTAACTGCAGCATTACAAAAATAATGAGTGGGATTTATAAAAATGGAAATTTCTGTTGAATATATTGGCATTTAATATAGAATTAGATATTTGTAAAGCATAATATAAAAGTAATTCTATTTTTTAACTTAGAAAAACACAGCTGAGCTTAGAGTTAGAGCAACCAAACAAAGAAGTTAAATTCAAATAAGTTATTTTTACATTTCGTGATAAGTCAAAGTTGTAATAAAGTAAATATGAAATAAATTTCTATCCTTGGGCTTTCTGTTAACTTTAGGGCCAAAAAATAGTTGAGAAATTAAAATAAACTTTGTATTTGTATTTCCATTTTAGACAACACATTTGTGTATAAGGATGATGGATCTCATTGGGTTTTTTTTTTTTTTTTTTTTTTTACAATTTTTACAGCAGAACTTTATATAACAATGGATATGATCATAATTTATTTTTATTTTAAGTTATATTTTTTAAATGAAATTACTAAAAATTGTGTAAGTGATAGAAAGTCATAGTAGAAAATTAACAGTGAGTAGAGTAAAACAAATGCAATGCATAGCTACCCAAAAACCTGCATTTTATATATGACTATATAATTTAATTTTGAGTATAATTATACTTCAAAAACTCAATGGATGTATACATGTATATGTATATATATATTTTAAAACCTGTAAATGCAGCGCATGTCAAGCCTGTTAGCAAAAGACAAGCAGTAAATGTAAGACCAGGATTAAGAATGTCTGCCAAAGCACCGCCAACAAATTTAATAAATGTGTACCCCAACTGTTGACTGCTGACAATCAGACCTGAGGATAAAAAACATTTATCATTTTAAGGTGAATTTTAAAATAAAACACATTTTAACTTATACAATTAGTATTGACTTTGAAGTAGCAATTACTGTAATAAATTTAGTATAGATTGTTAGATTATTTTTAGATATTCAATGTTAAATAATAAAAAGATAATTTAAAGTAGTTTTAGCTTAGAAACCCTTGAGGATTCATCATGTTTAGTGACAAGGGAACTTCAATAAGATTAACAATAACATATTTTTTTTTTCTCTTTCTAAAGACAATTGTGTATGAAATTATTTAAAGTCTTTTTCAAATTATCCACTAAAGTTAACCAATATAATTCTACAACCTACAGCAACTCTGCCTCACAACAAAGTTAACTATTAATTAACAACTTTTAGACTTACCTAGATCACTATTTTTCAAATGTTCTGTTTCCGCAATGACTGGGGCTGCAAATGAGACAGACTGCCGAATGTAGACTAAAGTCAGATAGCCAGTGAAAAGTGACATAAATAACACTTGCTTGTGTTTACTCATTTTTAAATGAAGCTTGATGTATTTTCATCCCTTTTGTAGATTAAAAATGTATTTAATATTAAATAGTTTAAGAAATAATTTACATTAAAAGTCTTATTATAAGATAATTACTTTTGAAATTTAGACTATAGCTGCATACCAGGTCATACTGGTAATTAGTATTATCATTAGGGGTTGTCCATAAATGACGTCACAATCATAGGGGGAGGGGGGGTCCGTAATTTTGTGATGGTGTGTGATGAGGGGGAGGGGGTTCAGATGGTGTGCCATCACACTTTTGCTTTATAAAAAAGCAATGTTAGAAAACAAGTTTTAGCCGTTATTTCGCATTTTAGAAAACAGTTTTTAATAAATTGTAATAAGAATTGATGAAAATACTCTATGTGTTGACATAGTTCTGGCAAGATTTTAGAAAATATCGATGTTTTAAGAAAAATTTAACATCAATTTTGAGTGGGGATTTAGGCTGAGTTGTGACATCATTTTAGGGGGGGGGGGGGTCTGGCATATTGTGACGTGTGATGGAGGGGAGAGGTAAAAATCGTCAAAAAAGTGTGACGTCATTTATGGATGACCCCTAAGCAAACATAGTAGAAAGACAAAGAAAGTATTTTTAAAATCAAATGTCAAATGTAGATCTAGATAGCTAATTTCAATTTTTTTAAAATTTTAATTGTAGGGCCTGATTTTTTTAATTTTAATTTTTTTCTTGCTTTTTGAGTCATTTTGATTTTGACTGATGTGATTGCAAGCATATTTTGCTAGTTTAATTATTTGCAGAGAGGGAGAGAGAAAGAGAGAAAAATCTCGTCCGCTAGATTTTTTGTCAGCAATGAAAAGAGAGAAAATTACTGAATTAGTTAGTCTTGTGTATCTACTACTCTTACTAATTTTCACTTGTAGTTGTTGTTGTAGTACTTTGTCAACAAAGAAATCTTTTATTGCAGAAGACAGATTTATAGCTAGATATATCAAAAACTCTACCACAAAGTTCGCTAAGCGAATCAAACACTTTGTGTAGAATATAAATGTCTTTTATTACGTTAAGATTAAATGCTCCTCGTTATATTAAAATTTATGTAAATCTAGGCCTTTTTGTTTTATAACGAGTGGTATAAATATTTTTATTTAAAAGGGGATAAAAAACCTAGGATAACATTATTAACATAATGTAAAGTTTACGACATTACGCATTAGCTCTGTTGTTGACCGGTTGCTATACAACAACTGGTCGCTCTTATTATGAAAAAAAATAGGAACAAAAGTGATTTTAGATAGTAAAAGTAGATCTAGTTGGAAAACAATCGTAAGAACTTGCAGCTTACTGTTTGACTAAGTACTTTCTTACACTAATGTACATTTAATTTAAATATAATGGTCTATAACTCCATATTAGTTATATATAATATTTTTGAGTAACCACAACATGAACAAGACACTTGAATTATAATATTATAGCGGTAATCTATCGTTTTAGGAGGTACGTAAAATTGCCCGCGACTAGTAATGTGAAAAACAGGTGACTCCTTAAATTTTAATAATTATTTCACATTTTGAGGAGGATTTATGTTTTGAAAAATACAAAAATGTTTCCTTGTTTCATTTATGTACCTGTTTTTAAACAACTGAATTAAAACTTTTCAGTAATAAATGAAGACTAGCGATGTTTCCAACAGATGCAACCATGCTCATTTACTATAGAAGCCATCTTGTTTATTTTTTTTATTGTAAACTTATAGCGATTCAGGGGAAGACACACTAACGTACAGATGGCAGCTTTTTATATAGCAAATACTGCTCGCAAACACTGCTGTTTAAAGTTAATTTCTGGCCTATATTGATATATTAAGCCATTGATTTAGGTTTATTTTTCATTTATCTATAATATTTGACACAAATATATCACAATATACTTCTATTAAAGCCTTGACATAAAATGACAATGAGGTAACTTTTTTGTACATTACTAGCCGCGGGCGATTTTACGTACCTAAAACGATAGATTACCGAATCAACTAATAACTAGATCTAGATTCTACTACCTTACTCAACTAAGTCAACTTGCTGGAGGCAGCCGAATTTGACCAGATGTGTTCCATTATTAATGTTGACATGAATACGAAAAAATTCCATGTTCTTTTTTGATTTTGCATCACATGGGCCAAAGAATAATTTAAAAAAAAAAAGCCTTAAGCCTCAAAATATCTTAAAATTTATTATTTTTATTAATTTTATAATCAATGTTACTGCTGCAGAGAAATTGAAAATATTTGTTTAACATTTAATACTATTTAAGGCTTAAAGTTCAAAGCTACTTTAAACATTTCTATTTATTTTCATCAAGCCTAAGTTATAAACTAAAGTAAACTAAATTGTCCAAAAAAGCATGAACCCTCATACTAATTATTAAATGTTAGTTATCAGGATGACACACTCTTTACTAGCACTAGTCTAAAATAAATGAAGTAACTAAAGTACAAAAAAATTCATAACTTTTTATTTAAAGTTTACGTTAAATGTGACCCAAAAAATCTGATTAATTTTGATACCAAGGTATAAGATTTGCTTTTGCATATCATGTTTTAATTTTATTGTAAAGTAATAATTTTAAATAGTCATTTAGGCCTACATGTATCAATTAAAAAGTATAAGGGTTTACCTTCTGTTTTAATAGTTTAGCAGTCAGATTATATACTAGTTTCAAATATGATTCTTGAATTTTAACATGGCATTTTTAAGGATAAATGTGTCATAAGCAGCTGGTTCATATGCATAGAAAGGGCATATTTGATTTTTGGTATTCTGTTAACCACATTTGTAACTGTATTCAAACATACGTTATTTTGTAACTTGCATTGCCACCATTGTTACGTTTCTCACTCCCACCCACTTTTACCATTCGCTTTTGATGTCATTTAATAGACCTAACTATTGAAATGTATAGAAGGCAGAAATGAATTAATTTCATCAAATGCATATTTAAAAATATTTTCAACTTTTTATAGGCATCAATGAATACATTTGTCAATTTTCAGGTAATTTGTTGTTGAAATCAATTTTGACTTCAACATGGCTGATGCGGTAAGTGTTGGTGAATTTTACTTTATTGCAGTTTACTTTATTAAAAACATTTTTTACCGTGTGTTTTTGCTTAACATATATCTAAGTAAAATAAAATAACTAAAAACATTTTTTCACTAAATCCTAGTAATATTTTGATAACATTTATTAGTACAGTTTTAGTAATTGACTTTAATAATAATGAGCTTTGGTTTGCTTTTTAAAAAAATGTATTATGATGTGTTTTAATATTTTTTTAACAGGCTAAGAGAAAAAAATCTTCTGGATCACCAGAAAAAGTATGATCCTACTTTAGATTCTTAAATTTCTTCTATTTCTTACACCTATTTATCACTTTTTATGTATTATACACACCCACAATACCTGTGTATCTACAATGCATATTTACCTACCTATAAAATCTTTGTTTTTGTCTAGAATTTTTACAAAAGAACTATTAATCATCAAATTCACTTCATAGATTTTATTAGTAACTTAAAATACTAATTTAAACAGAAAACAATATGCAAATGTATTTTGAAATAGATATGCATATATATGTAAAGTGTGTGTGTATAAAGCTAATAGGTGCAATTAACTATTTAAACATGTATATCTACTTATGTTTAATCCAGGCTTATAACTAAGAATATTTTAGACCAAAACATCTGACCTGACCCAAAGAAACCAAACCAAACCCAACCCAACCTAACCCAGCTCACACCCACACCTAAACCTTAATATTAACCACAACCACCAGAACCAAAAATAATAACAAGAAAAATTTATTTATTTTTAATTTTAAATTCTGGATAGCTATTTCACTTATTTTGCTTTAGAAATATAATTGTAAATTGTTTTTAATAATATACAACTAAGTTCTTATATATGAATTTGAAGTAAATATTTTTCTATTTCCACGGGTGACTGCAAATTTGTATTTAGGATGTCTTAAATACCACTCCTTTCTATACTAATCTTGGATTTATTTTTAGATTTTTATTTTAGAGACCAGGTACAAAAAGTAATAAGCAAACTTTGACATCTAAGTCTAGTATTGATAATCTTGAACTTGCTAAAATGATATATTTCAAAACATTTCCATGTGTTCTTTAAAATATTGGCTCACATAAGTTACCTTTTTTAGTTAAGTTTTAAATTTTTTTTTTCTATATTCATGTATAATTCTTGTATTTTATTATGCCTCTAATTCTTTAACATTTTAGCTACATAGCTAAAAATTCTTTAAATTTATGTTTTACATTTACATGACTTTCATTTCAAATTAAACGTTTATGTGACAGATAGATTACATTTTTTTTAACAAATAAGATTATTATTTGCCTTCAGATGAAAGACTGGATTTGCTTTATTTTGATAATTTATAAAAGATTACATTTTTAAAATCTGTTTTGAAATTAAGCCAAACAATTTTAAAATTTATCATTTTGAAAAATGAGTTTGTAAATTACCATATAAAAAAGTAAATAAAAATGCATTGAAATTTTTTATTTTTAAAAATGTGTAGCATTTGCATTTAGAAAGTAAAACATCTTTAAATATCATTTTCCATTAAGGGAAAAAAAGGGAAGCTTACTAAAGCTGAGAAAGAGAAATTAAAAAAAGAAGAGCTTGAAAGAAAAGCCCAAGAGGAAGGTGAGTCAAATCCCTATTCTGAATATGTAATTAAGAAGAGCACTTTTTAATACTTCTTTTCACTGTGAATAATGTGGTATTAGATAATTTCTTGTAAAACATGTTATGGTGACAGGATACATTGTAGTAACTAACCAGTGTTTAACTTGAAAAGTGTAGCTAAAAATTCAAACAAAGGTTGAGCAATGAAGAATAATCAATTGAACATGATTTCCCTTCAGATGAAGAAATGGATCAGTCATACACATTTTGTATGAGAATAAACTGTTACACAATTTCTAGATATTATACATGTAGGTTTGATGAAATTTGAAAGTCAAATTTTAAAACTACCCTGATCACACAATTTATTTAACTTTAAAAAAAATACTTATAAAAAGTAGCATTAGCATGTTAAATATGTTATAGTTTTTTAAAAAACTTTAAAAACTTTAGATCCATTGTAAAGATATTTCTTTTGTAACGACATAAAGCTTTTAGAAATTATACACAAAATGCTTCTGAAAGAGCAAGCACCATTGAAATACCTATGTTTCAATCTGGTAAGTTTTAGTTGACACTTGAAGCAAAGAATAACACATATTTGATAATCCCCAAACCTTAGACTGTTTAAACAAATTTTTTATAAAATCAGAATCATCTATTATATTTAAAATGTTTACATATTTGATACAAAAGAGAATAATTTAATAACTTAATAAGTAAATAAATTTTAAAATAACACTTATTAAATTACTGGCTAATTAGCCTGTGTGTGATTGATGTGTTAAATATCTTATGTGCTTCAACTGACTACAGTTTGTGTTTTTCAAAATATTCATTTCTGTTTGAGATTTTTTACAATTAAGAAATTTTGTTGTTGGTGTCAATGATGAATTGTTAAAATGATGTTCATCCATTGTTACATATTGCAGTTGCTTTTATTTCTATTTCATTAAAAATTTAATATAATTTTAACATTTTCTACAAAAAAAAAAAGCAAAAAATAAAAATGGAGTTAAATAAAAAGTGTTTTGTACAAAATATGTAGCAATTTTTTCAGTGATTATGAGCTTTTAAATATTTAAAAAAAAAAACTACTCATTTTTTTCTTAGTTAATTGAAGAGCAGATAAATATCACTAAATAATAAAATTACTTATTTAATTACACTTGCTAACAATTCACTAATGTATTTTTATAGAGAGCGCCCGTTTGCAAGCTGCAGAAGAAGCTAAAGTACGCAAGAAAGAAGAGGAGATTATGGCAGTTGAAAAAGTAAAATTGGAAAATGAGGTAAAGGGAACATGGTCAACAAATTTGTTACTTTTTTTTAGAAAATTTCCATGTGGCAAATCTTGTTTTAACTTTTATTTTTTCTCAAAAATGCTACAAAAAGTCTTAAGGAGTTTGCAGCATTAAAGCTTGCTGGTCATTCAAAGTTTTTGTGTATTAAAGCCTGTATCTTTCAAGAGAAATTGGTTAAACTAGCTGGCAGCAATAGCAGTTTTTTTTAAAAATAAATAAGTGCATTTCTCTGTAATACTATATTACACATTACATCTAAGGGTTTTAGTAAAAAAAAAATTAAAATACAACCTCAAGTAACTTGGGACACATCTCTTGTCCTTACTGCCAATTCAGCCCTATGTGGATCTCCCTAAATGTCTTTAGAAGATTGAATTTGGAAAATTTTCTTTCTTACCAATACATTATTTCAATGGCTCTTCTTCTTCGTTCTTAATTATTAGTGTTGAAAGGGATCGAGATTTATCTGCCAGTGGGTTTGAACTCGAGACTTTGATTTCAATGGCTAGTTCTTCAAATTTTCTTAAAAAAAACCAGTCTAGTTGCTCTGCTAATTTGAAAAAATAAACACTTAATTAATCTTTGAAGTAATGATTGTAACAATATATGAGTTAGATTTTGTCTATATTTAATAACTTACCATTAATTTCTGAGAACCATTTTAAAATAGTTTTTGTTAATTAGGAACGTAGGGTACGTAGAGCTGACATGTCAGAGCTTCAAGAGCTTCTTAACTCTAAATATAGTAAGCTGCGGAAGCTGCATGATGATCGTAGAGAAAAGACAAAGGTTTGTATAAATATATAAAATTCTTAAGTATATATAGGCTCGTATAAATTCAAATACATATGTGTATGTTTAAATGAATTGATTAGTGAAATATTTGATTATGCTGTTAAACTATGTTATATAAATGTTTTAGTGGGCACGTTATATGAGGTGTGATGGATCACCCGACCCAACCATTCAAGGGGAGATCAATACCTACATAAATCTGAGATTAGAAGACCAGAGTCGCAATGATTCTGACAGTGTTCTTAAAGATTCTCTCATGGACCTTGATGTAAGGATTCAGGATTCAAATGATAACTATTTTAATCATCTTTCATATTCAATCTTAACATCATCATGATTACAACTTAAAATCATTTTAATTTAAAATAAAAAAATTTACATTTTTATTTGTACATTTTAAAAAAAGTTTTTCTTTTGTTTTGAAGCTAATGAGTGAGTTGCAATATATTATGGATGACACACCACCTGAAAATCTTTTAGAAAAAGACAAATTTCTCTATAATGAGGTAAATATTTGCTTTAAAAATATTTTAAAATGTTTATTTATTAAATAACTATGCTTATAATGTCTGTTCTTTGTTCCCTATTATTTTTACATCTAAAAAAAACTAGATCACTTTTACTGGATGTATACTTTTTCAAGTTGTTAGGTGAGAAAATGTTACCACTGAAAAAACTCTTGTGAAAGCTGCAGGATTGAAGTAAACAAATTATTTTCTCATGTGCAGACAATAAGTGAACTACAGAAATTGATTTCTGTCAAGCTAGACCTGGGCAGCCTTCAGATATTGTGTGATGCAACTGTGTTGGCAGACCCAGAGACAGGCAACCTTCAGCACGTTGTTCAGAATGATCACATTTTTTTGGGCATTTGGGGAAATATTATGAAGAATCCCAGGTAAATAAAATCTTACTAATTTTTTAAAAATAAATTATTTTTAAAGAATGAATAACACAATGTGTTTTTTTTATCCGAATTATAATTTTACAGTGAAAAGTCATATACATGATGTGTGCATATGTTAAATAGTAAATATTCAAATATATTTTAATATGTCAATTTTTAAGATTTTAACAATGAAAAAACTAATAAAAACTAACATTTTACACAGGATCAAATCATTTGAGTTTCCAACTGTACATTTCACATTCGATATTCCGCGAGTTCTAGGACTAATGGACTGTGCTGTGAGACTCATGATCACCAAATATGATCATTTTTCACCAACTAGTAAATCAATCATACCAAGGGCTAAGAAAGCTGCCACAGGTAATTTTGTATTAGAAATTGCTTAATAAATTCTCTGTTGACCAAAATCAGTTACTAGCCGATTTCTTAGAAAAAATAACTTAAATTTGGAGGGGGGGGTGGGGTGGTTTGCAGACTGTGATGCTACATTATTTTAGGAAGGGGAGCTCTCTGATTTTTTTGTGATGATTTGTGAGGGTGGGAAGAAGGTAAAGATGTCTAACAAAGTGTTACATAATTTATGGATAACACCTGTATAGGCAAAATACTTTTCAACTTGACAGCTTTTATAGCAGTGGAAGTAGAGCACATCTATTTCTGGGACCTTGGCTTAAGAAAGTGGTTTTGTGATTAGTAACCTGATGTCTCTACTTTACCTTAAGTCACGAACACATCACAGAATCAAATTCATGTTTAAAAATCAAGTGCTTTGCCACTCAGCTATGCAACTTTTAAATATTTATTAGAGGAGTTGTAAAATCTAGAGTCCTCATCCTATTTACATGTAAACAAAATTAATATATAGAAGAGTCTGTTGCTAGTAATGCAGGCAGTTGTGGTCATCTCAGCTCAACAAACTAACACAAAAATATTGTTCTTAAGACATTTACTTTTCAGCTTATTAAAAAACCTTTAATGTAATAAACAGTGTTTTTGTAGAAAAAGCTTAAACACAGGGTGTTATTATCAATTAATAGAATTGGAAGCCACAGTTTAAAAAGATGTATTAAATTTTATCCATTATGGAAAATACAAGCCTCCAATTTAAAAAAATATTCTAAAATGGTTTCACGCTTACATCATTTTTAATCTTAAAAATGTTCCTTGTTACAAATTATTTTAAAAAAAAATTTCTACTCTAAAACCTTTAATAAGATGCTTCTTGTAAAAAAATATGACTTAAAAGTTAAATGCATGCAAATGGTAAATAAGAATCAATTCTAGCAATGATTACATTATTCATAGTGACTTTAAGCAATGTCTATTGATGTTCTTAAAAGAATAATGAAGAAACTATTTATGAAGTGTTTGAATGAGATAATGAAACAAGTTTGAATTTTAAAAGAAGCTGCAACAGATCTGCCTGTGACAGAAGAAACAAAAGTAGAGGAAGAAGCCGCACAAGATACATCAGACAAACTTGAAGTAAGAGTAGGATCACCTGAGGACGTCTCTAGTGTAAGGAAAACACAATATTTCATTTTTGTTAAATCTTTTTTACATGAACAAATACATATATATATATATTTATATGTATATGTGTATATGTATATGTGTATATGTATATGTGTATATGTATATATATATATGTATATATATATATATATGTATATATATATATGTATATATATGTATATGTATATATATGTATATGTATATATATGTATATGTATATATATGTATATATATATATATATATACATACATATATATATATATATATATATATATATATATATATATATATATATATATATATATATATATATATATATATATATTCTATATTCTATATATATATAGATAGATAATATAGGCCTACATCCTATGATAAGTGATACTGAGGAACCTAGAGAGGAGACTGAAGTAGAAGTTCAAGAAATTTTAGAAGAAGATTATGCTGATCCTCCCACACCAGGTATATATTTTCTTCATTTGCTTTAATGTTTTCTATGTACCTTTTAAAGAATTAATGACATCTCAGGTACAATCTATTATTCAAACTCGAGACGTTTGGGCTAGCAGTTGTGCACCCTACTGTCTGACAATTCTTCCTATTTAATTAGAACTTAATTTGTTGTTTTATTAAACATGAGAGTAGTTTTACTTTTTTTAACATTTTCAATAATTAAATATTCTCTATTTTATATACAGATTTTGAAGTATTTTTCTAATTGACAGAATATAATTAATTTCGTAATATAAAAACAAGACAATGCATTAAATAATATTTATGAGTAAAAATTCTTAGAAAAAGCTAGTGCATTAAATTTAAAATTTGTTATTTTAGGTCAATTAGATTATGAAGATTTAGATGAATAATATTTATGAGTAAAAATTATTAGAAAGAGCTAGTTATTAAATTTAAATTTTGTTATTTTAGTTCCTTTAGATTATGAAGATTTTGATGAAGAAGATGACATTGTAGATCTGAGAGCTTATGATGTTGTCGGAGGAGTGTATCAGTTTAATCTTCTAAACCTTCCTCCACAACCAAAGAATGCTGGTTCTTGGACCATAACACAGTGTATGATTGATTTAGTTAAATTTATGTTTAAAGACCATAACACAGTGTATGATTGATTTAGTTAAATTTATATTTAAGGACCATTACACAGTGTGTGATTGATTTTGTTTAATTTATGTTTAAGCTTTAAGAATATACTATTTATAAGCTTTATAGTTTTCCCCAAAATATATTAGTCTATTTTCAACTATTTTATCCAGAAAAAAAAAGTAACCTTTTATAGAATTTGTTTTTAATATGCAGTGGTTGATCCGCCCCAAATCCAGTATCTAGAATACATAGCTGACACCTCAGAAGAAGCCAAGAAAGATGCAAAAGACAAAGATACTAAAAAAGATGAAAAGCCTCTAATAGGAATCAACATGATGTAAGTTTTATGACAATAAACAATCACTAAAGTATTTTGAATAAACTCTCCAATATTTTCATTTAATATTTCAATTGGAAGATCTAATAGTTGAAAGGTTGCGGACTCATTAATTTCAATACATTATTGATATTTTTACTTAGGATAGTTTGATGATCATTTTAAAAGTATTTTTATAGGAACTTAAACCATGCATCTCAAGGCAGCATAAATCTGGGCATAATGCTAAAGTCATTGTTCTGTTTGTGCTATAGAGGGCTATACAAAACATTGAAAACAAACTAAAATATAAAAGTGTTAAAAGTATCATTGAACACATGTAAGAGAAGATGTTTAGCCTTAAATTAAAATTAACGTAATTCAAATATTTATAAACCCTGCAGCCTTCCAGAAAACTGCATGTTTTTCGAAACCCCTGTAGTTGCTCGGTGGGACTATGACAGGAAACTGTGGAGCACTGCAGGATTTTCTGACTTAAATTTTGTTGAGGGTGAGTAATCTTTTACAATGAAAACCTTTTGACAAATATTTTTTGAAAACATAAAGATGTTAATAAGTATGTAGCAACAGCGAACAAAAACAATTGTTTATTATTAAAATAAATAAAATTCTATGCTAAACTAAAAGAATGAACGGATTTATTATTGTTAATTTAGTATTCTTTTTACCTGCAAAGTTTATATTTCACTTATATAAAATTAAAACATGAGACGCATAAAGAAGCTTGTCTGCATAAACAATATTTATCCCTCTAAACTATATGGAATTTTACAATCTCAAAGTTACAAGAAACTTCAATTTTAAGACAACACATTTTGGAACCTTCTGTCTACTGCAAGATACACACATGAACATGCCTTTTCAGTCTTGGAACCTCAGGCCCCATGGTGTGAATAGGGCAGTCCTTACTATCACTGCTGCTATTATAGAAATTGAGATTGAAATGAAGGTACAACATCAGTTTTTTTTAAATGTTTTAATTAAACTACTGTTTGTTTATTATTTTTATAAACAGAAGGAGATCAAACTAATTTTGATTTTCATGAATAATAAATATTTTCTTTTTAGACATAAACTGGTAAAAATATCAAAATTAAAAATATAATTGTACTAATTAATTTAAATTTTTAAAACTCATTTTTATTATATATATCTCAATATATTGCATATGTTACTAGGTGTAATATATAACAGTCTTTATAATTAATTTATGTATATGTTATAATAATTAAAGCTAAAATAACTTTTATTAGATTCTTTAAAGCGGTATATCTCTAAAAATATATATGTACATTTTATATATACCCTTGCTTTGATTTTAATTTAAGTGTATATCAAAGCTGTCATAAATTTAATTTTACTTTATATCAGTGTTTCTGAAAGAAGTTACACTGAACAAAATATATGTTATAAAACATGAAAAGCCACCATACAATAAAAATTGTTTAACCCTAATTAAAATATACGAGTTGACCCGCGATGTAGTATACGCTGCCATGTAGTTGTTTTATTTTCTGCTGATCAGCAATTCATAATTTGTGAATTCAACATTACCCTCTTCCGCCCTCGCGTTTCCCTCCTGCCCAGTGAAAGCAGCCGTTTACAGACAAAGAAAAGATCAATCAGAAATTGTTACCTCCCCTTTGTTTCAAATAGTTTAATAATAAATTATCTGCCCCTAATAGCCGTCATTAACCCGGCTCTCTGATTGTAAACATTTGGGGTGAACCACAGCTCAGCTGACAGGTGAGGATGAGGGTGGTGGCTAAGCTGCGTGGTTTTTTCTATGGTCTCCATGAAGAGAATTATATATATAGATTATTTATTAACTAACTTAACTATTACTTTGTTAGTATAGTTAATAGTCATTTCATTTTAGGATTCATTATGCTGTCTAAGTCAGCCAAAAGATAAACCAGAACTAGAGTCTATTAGAGACAAATGGGTTACACCACAGGAGCTAGTCAAGGTGAGATTAAACACAATTTTGTTTTACTTTTACTCCTCATTTTCTTTTTATAAATCATGGCTATTTTGGTTTGTCAATAACACCACTTTAATTCTAGCTCCAACCATAATTCTGACCCTTTAGATATTAAGCCTAACCCTAATCATTATTTTTACACTAAGAAAAAAAACTATGATTTGCATTGTTAAGTAAGATGAAAACATTTATTAAACTATTTCAGATAATGAAAGCGGCTGGTGTGAATGTTTTTCCAAATGAAGATTCATCAAAGTTTGTCAGTATTCAAGGAAAGGTAAATTATCTCTCATCAACATTATTGGAAAATGTATAAAGAAAATGATTATTAATCGATTTTAAAAATTTCAGTATGTGGTATTGAGCTAAAAAAAAAGAGTGTTTTATTCCTTTCCTATAAAACAACTATTTCCTAATTTGTTTGATAATTGTGAAAGTATTTTTAAGTGATGGCATTCTATTAATATATTAAGAACATTATATTCTATTTTATTTCAGTTTGTTGAGAAGATATTTCATAAAGTATATTAATTTTTTCCAGTATTTGGTCTTGTTTACAGTTAAATTTATTTTACACTTTTAATTTAATCTTTACATTTGTTTAGCATTTTTAAAGCATTGATAAGCATTATCATAATTTTGCATTATTGTTCTTATTAGCATTCTTAAAATGTATTTAGACATCTCTGTCCTTTGATTATATTTTTTTCAATTTCTTAAACAAGAAAATATCAAATAAATGACAACTTACAATTGTTAGAAGCTTTTTATATTTTAATGTCTACAAAAATCATTTGAGAACTTTGTTATGTAGGTGATATATTTATTTTAGTGTCTACAAAAATCATTTGAGAACTTTGTTATGTAGGTGAGATATATATATATATATATATATATATATATATATATATATATATATATATATATATATATATATATATATATATATATATAATATATTTCAACATTTTCGAAGAGAACATTTTTTATTTGATTAGCCCATCCTTTAATAGATTTTTTATAACTATAATCAGACCAAAGTTCTGATAATTATGTTTATTTATCGTAATGAATAGTTAAAAATAGGTTATTTATTATTGTCTTGGGCATGTTTTACTATTTCAATCATTTCTTCTTTGGTGTATCACAATTGACATTTTTGGTCTTCTGCTGCTTTTATTTATCCTCCAATGGGCAGCCCATGATGCCCCCATCCACTTTTGTAGTGATATATTAATATATTTAAAAACACAGCATCCCCTTATAGAGGAACGAATGTATCAACAAATGGCACTGACTGCCTCTGCTTTGGCTTACAATTGGTCAAAGTGGAATGGGGAGAGATCTAAAGATGAGATTGTTTTTCAAGTAGCTGAGGCACTAGAAGACGAACCTGTACTGGAGGTAAGAGATTTACATCAGAAACACATCTTTTATTTAAGCAATCAACATTAACTTTGCAAATATGATAATTTTTGTGTCCCTACTTAAAACTATTATTACATGGTGAAAAACTAGTTTCCTTGCTTACCTTAAAATGTATAGGAAAGACAGTTCAACTGTTTTTATAGCCACATCATCAGCACTATGTGCAGCCATCTTTACTTTCCCATAGTTGAATTAGGTATCCATCAGATCTTGTAGGAACTTAAGTCTGGAAAGTCTTGAGATTTTAGGTTTAGCATTTGTGTGCTCCAATATGAACCATGAAACAATAGTGAATAATGTATTGTTTATGCTACACCACTTCTTTTAACTCATTATATCTTTTTCTTCTTCTCCCTAGCTAGGCTATTTACAAATTTCTTTCGAATAATTTTTTTTTTCTTTTTCAATTTCACCATGCCAGGTATTTTTGGGTCTCCATCTTTTTCTTGTTTTTTTTATTCTATGATTGCCTTGCCTGATAATACTTGTTGCCTGTTTAGATCACACTATCCACATTCACTGTCCTTTCCCTTACTCCTCTATTAGGTACTTGGTCAAACCAACCTCATTATATGCTAACCCATTTTTTAAAAAAAAAGGATTTGAATGCTTGAATAATTCATAAAATGTAAGAAATTTCGTTTTGTTAAAAGTGTACATTTTTTGATACTCACTATTTGCATTGTAGTTCTCAAACTATTAGTATAAGACTCTATTTGTATTTTTAGGATTATTGGTCAGTGTTTCTTGCCACAAAACGTAGGGTCACAAAACTTAAGTTGACAGAGTTTGATGAAGCTTTTAAGATGCCTACAGAGGAGGAAAGGCTTGAAGTGAGTGATTAGTTAAATGTTTTAGGCCTATAATTTAAAATGTTATTTTTAAAAATCTACATAAATTGATAATACTTAATTATGCAAGAATTTATTTAAAACACATTTTTAATTATATATCTTGAAAAGCATGGACAGTTCTTAACAAAAAAAAATTGCTTTAAATGTTTGCTTCTAATATATGTAGAGTTGTCTCTTCTTCGTGATATGTTTTTAAAAGACTTTCATTATTTTAATATTGTCTAACCAATTTCGTGTCAAAAAATGCATGCACACATTTGAAGCTCCAATCAGAGCAGATTTTCATGCAGATGAACACACATGAGACTAACTATCAGTATTATTGTGTTTTATCAAATACCACAAAAAAAAAATGTTAGTCAAAAGTACTAAACTTGAAACAAAACTACATGGCAAGGACAAAAACTATTTTTTAAATATTCAGTGTATGGGGTTATCCATAAATGACTCCCTCCTTTCCCATCATCACAAAAAGCCATACCCCTCCTGAAAAGGGTTTTTACACTTAGGCCTACTACCCCCCCCCCCCCACCCCCAATAACCTTCCCCAGCTTCATACATTTTCACTAAAGTCTAAACCCCCCTCTGTTATGTTTATAGATGACCCCTGTGTACAATTATTATACATCAAATGTAGTTCAAGCATTTGTGATTAAAAACTATACATTTGATAAAACTATACTAATTCAGATAACTGCATCCTATTGTCAACTACTGTACATTTCCATGTGTTTAGCAAATTGTAAACAAAATCAATTACTGTAATGGAGTAGACAATGCTCACAAATTGAGAACTTATTGTATTAAGCTTAATTTTGTTTTAAACTAATTTTTAGCGCAATTTCCATACTGGACAATTCCGATTATTAACTCCTTATTTCTGGATGGATGTGCGCAGCTTTAAGTCGTATCTCCTCCTCAACGAAGCAATATCGAGGACTAGTTCCAAAAGCAAATATGTTAAGCAAGTTCCGAGCATGAACATAGGCCAAAAAAATTCCCGGAATTCCTTCCTGGATTTCCCGGAAAAGCCAAAAAACCTCGAACAAATGCAGTTTTTGCTCCATATCTCGGCAACCAGACCACTTAGCGACTTGAAACATTTACCAATCGATTCCTGCCATAATTTAGACCAATATTGCCGAAGAAAGTTTTCAAAAATATCCTTTCGTTCGGTCACAAAATTTTTTTTTTAATTATTTAAACTGAACATCTTGTAGGCCTACTCGTTAAAATAAAACTATTTCCGTTGATATAGGTTAATATAGTTGTCTTTTTTTTTTACTTATTAATTCAAACGTTATTTTTGTACCCTATTAATTTATTTATAATTTATATGAGAGTGATATGGAGTTACAATTACAAGGTTTTGTTTCGCTAGGCCTAATAATTTTTTCACATTTAAAAAAAAATTAATTAAGGAAATTGCGCTTAAATTGTCACTAGACTTTTTATTAACTTGTTTTTTAATATATCAGTTTTCAGATACATTCATATAACATTTTTATAATTACACATTTCTTTTTTTTCTATCCTTTTTATTTGCTGCAGATATCAGCAAACTATGATACTTCTCTTTCAATTGATAATGGTAGTATTGGTGCTAGGTTATCCACCAGTCGAAGGTCCAAAAATCCAAGCCCCAATTCATCTGTTTTGAATATACCTGGATCTAAGTCTAAAGTAGCTAGAAACATGTCCTATTCACGCCGTCCCTCAAGGCTCGAATCTGGTCATTCTTCAACAGCAAAGCTTAGAAAGTTAAAGAAAACAAAAAAAGATGCCCCAGTTGACATGTTTTTAAAACAATTTGATATAAATAATTCTACGGTACTATAAAAATAAATAGAAGATTGGTTTTGTTACTTTCAACAAACATTTGGAATTTAATTTTTTAATGTTTCGCTACTTTGTTTTCTTTTGTGTTTTTTGATTAATGTTTTTGATATACTTTTGACAATCTGAATTACTGTATGTTACCTGGAAAGAGCGAAAATCACTCTTTCTGTAATGTAGGCATTCTATAAATTGCCTGGCTGTAGTAGGCAAAATAATTTATATTTTGCTATTTGCCTAAGTATTCTATAGAATGCCAGTCAGGTGACCTGGCAAAGTGTAGAATCAGCTTATTTATTTCAGGTTGATTTTGATTGTATTTTCTTTCAATTTGAGCCATTTTGCTTTAGTAGAACATTGGCAACATAATGTTAATTTTTTTCTTCGCTGCTCAATTTTACAATTTTTGAACCCCTTGTCAAAGTAAATGAGCATTTTACACTTTGCCTTGTCAAGAGATCTTGTCATTCTATAGAATGCATAAGAAAAGTTTAAAGTCACAATGATTATTCAAGATGACTTATACCTTGCCTGAAAATGAAAGGCATTCAGCATTCTACAGAACACCTGCATTTCTCACTTTGCTGGTAGCATGTTTGAGACTTACTTTTTTCAGAATTTTTACCTGTTAATTCAAATTATTCTTTTAATTTAATAAGATAAATAGTACTAACCTAAGTAGAAAATATAATGTTACCAAAATTATAAATAATTATTTTATAATTATTATAATTATTATAGGAGTGCTAAAAAAATGAATTATTTAAAATAAAGCTGAAGGTTTTAAAAGTGCTATGTAATGAATAGTTCTCATAAAGCTGAAGCAAAAAAGCGTCTTTAAAGTATACTTATTAATACTACTCTTATGCATATAGATGACCCTAATATAGTATGTAATCTTATTTATAATGTACACTTTTCTCTATGAAGTCAACACTTGTATATACTTATCTCTGAATAAACTTTTTATATACTTGTCTCCAATGTATTTTTACCACTAATGTATACTCTTGTATACTCTAGTTCAAGTCCAACATGTACCATCTGATGCCAGAGTTCACAAGCAAGGAGGCACTAGAGAGAGTACAGGAAACCAGTGACCAGTTTATGGACTGTGTCAACCAGCTTCTCAAGGCTACCAGAGTTCTAGTTTTTTCTTAAGTTTGACAGGTTATATTGCCTGCTCTATTACAGTTCAAGAATTTGCATTGTTTTTTTTTAAAATTAATTGTAATTAATCAATCAGTTATGAAATTCGTATTATTAATTATGAATTATTTTAAACATGGTTCAGTTATTACAGTATTTACACTCATTACTGACAATAGTATGCAACTCTAACAAGCACTTTTGTCACCTTTGTATACATATTCAATATTACAATATCTTTTTAATGTCAATTATTTATGAAGTTTTAAGTCATTCAGGTTGGGGAATTTGAAATAAAGTGATGTGATTAATAGTTATTAGAAAATAAACATTTATTGACAGATATCACTTATTTTTGTAAATATGTAATTTGTAAATAACAAATGTTTAAATATTTAAAACCATGGCTTTGATGTACTTGGGCCAAAAATATCAGGCTGTGATCAAGCTTAAAAACATACAACCTGTACTAATGTCTTTAACAGAACATTAGAGATGTCAAAATATCCAACATATTAATATTACTATTTTATTTTTAGCTATAGCATTGTTGTATTTGGCTTTTAACTTCTTGTGCATTTGGAAAATTGAAAAGCTAGAAAGTTAAAACTTATAAATTGACATGTTGAAGATGATCATATTTTTATGAATCCCTTCTAAGCATAAGAAATAAACTATGAATTTCTTCCCCTGGTATTATTTTATTATGTTTAAAAAGACCACCATGTTATGATAACGTCCAGAGGTTTATAAACAACTGCCTCAGACAAATACTGAGGATCCGCTAGCTCAACACCATCAGCAATACACACCTGAAGCACCTTTCTGCTGATGAAGAAATTAGGTAAAGAAAATGAGGCTGAGTAGGGCACACCAATATCAACAGGCAGGAATTGAGGTGAAACCCACAAGGAAAGTGCAAAGAGGTTAGCCCATACCCTAGCAGGGGTGACAGGCAGTGATAATGCTTATATTTTTAAAAATTAATTTAATTATAACTACTTGTACTTGTAAATTAAAAAAAAAAATAGCAGTGGTTTAAATTTATACAACTTTAATATCCTATTTAAAAACATGTCAAATATTATTTTAAATACAGATATTAATCGTGAACAGTAAACCTAATTCTTTATCATGGACAACCAGAATTGACCATAATTATCTACAAGTTACATTAGCAAGTAATGCACAGTTTGAACCCAGCTCTCAATTAGCTGTATTTAATCTAAAATGTAATGTACAAGCAATTGGAGCTGAATATCTAGTATTGTTTAGCTGTAACAGTTGTCACAAATCTTATGATACTTGCTTTAAAAGTGAGTTTCAAAAAAATTCTTAATATATTTGTAGCCAGTATTTATAATTCCTTAATTCTTCTGCAATTTAATTATCTTATCTGAAGTGATTTGTCTTGGTAGAATTCTGCAGGTTTTGGGGAAGGGGCTTCATCAAATTCTCCCAACTCTTCCTGGTAGTATGCAAATCTGCGTTTGCTCTTCAAAAAGAACCTAGCCATGTCATCAAACTGAGTTAGAGTTACACCTAAATCCTCCAGGGTAAGGTTTCCTGGAACTGTCCAGTCTGTCAATGCTTCCTGTAGTAGCAAATTTTAAAAAATTAATTAATTAAAATCTCATTTGAAAAGGGAAATAATCTTCAAATAAACATAACACTAGACAATATTTCTTAAAATTCAATAAGTCAAAATGCAGGTAGATCTATATAACATCAATACCAAAAAGAGATTTTAATGAATTCAATCAAAATGTACATACCATCTCTAACTTCTCTGTGTTATACCACCTCCCCATAGGAAGACTGTTGTATAGCTTAGCTCTCAATCTAGGTATTTTAAAAAAAGTTAAATTTTATAATTGATAATAATTTATTACTATTGAGTTTAACCAACAACAAAATTAGATGATTTACAAGGATATTAATTTATTATAATAAGAATGTAAAACACACACTTGCCTAAACATCATGAATTAATTTTATTAAATTATAAGTGAAAAAAATTAATACACTAGATTAAAGCCAGTAAGGTTTTTTTTTAATATTATTAATAAAACCAACTTCAATTAATGTAAATTTTATTATCTTATAACATTTTGCCTTACAAGTCTTGTAGAGGTTTATGCTTGTCATTGTTTATTATTGAGCACTAAAATTATTTTTAGGTCAATGTCACAAAATTTTAGTTTAAATAAATATTATTAAAGAAATGTATAGTATAAAACAAATAGAGATTATAGTAGATCCTTTTTCTGAAAATGATAAGATTTAGACTTGAAACAATGACTCTGGGGTCATCCATAAATGACGTCACGCTTTTTTTGACGATTTTTACCTCCCCCCCATCACACAAAGCCAGACCCCCCCCCCCCCTAAAATGACGTCACACCTCAACCTACAACCCCCCTCAAAATTGCAGTTGAATTTTTTTAAAACATCCATATTTTTCCAAAATCTTGTCTAAACGATTACAATTTATTAAAACAGTTATCTAAAACGCGAAATAACGTCTAAAATTCGTTTTCTAACATTGCTTTTTTATAATGCAAAAATGTGACGTTGCAAAATCTGACCCTCCCCCCTCCCCCTCATCACACATCGTCACAAAATTACGGACCCCCCCCTCCCCCCTACGAGTGTGACGTCATTTATGGATGACCCCTCTGAATTAACAACTCAAAACTTACCTAGGCACAAACATATAACCAGATCTCACCAACACATCCTCACGTCTGACTACATTAATGATGAAATCTACAATATCAGCCAAGTAGTAACGCTGAGGCCTGCAAAGATCAAGTACTTTTTTAAATCTCTTAGCCCATGATATATTTCTTACCCAGAACCTAGACTGTTCTTACTACATTTTTTGTTCTAAATCCCGCAAGGCATTACGGTAAAAACTTTGTGACAATATCTCTCTTCATTCTTGCCTGAATCCACTTATAAGAATGTTACAGAAAACAAAACATTAAGACTGTAAACAGTTTTTAAAAATGGAGTAGCAACAGTCTTATTCTAGGGAAGAGATATAAAATCAATACAAATAAAAGTAATATAGATACTAAAGTTTATTCACATGGACTAACACAGCAAATAAAAAAGACAACCTACCCAACACATTGGATGGTTTGGATACTAAAGCTTATTCACATGGACTAACAAAGCAAATAAAAAAAGACAACCTACCCAACATATTGGATGGTTTGGATACTAAAGTTTATTCACATGGACTAACACAGCAAATAAAAAAGACAACCTACCCAACACATTGGATGGTTTGGCCAACCATGTCTGGATTTTGAATAGCTTTAATGATACCTTCAGCAACATCAGAAACCTACATAAAATGCAGAGTATTATAGCGGCATATGAAACAATGAACCGTTAGTTGAAGACAGGATACATATGAGATCAGGATAAACCCTCTACAGATTTGAAAAGATAATGTCATGGTATATAAATAATGACAGTATATCAAACAATGTACTGAAAAAGACAGGCCGCTGTTTGTTTCCTAGTATTTACTATCCAATTACCTCATTTCTCAACATAAAAAAATAAACAAGGTCTATACATTTATTTCATAGATTTCAAAACAAATGTTTGAGTTTGCTTTCTTAATTAACTTGGTGTCAACATGTTTGATTAGCATTATTTAATAAGTTTGTAAAGGACCACCAAATCTACTTACAAAAACTGGTTGTTTAATTGTTCGTTCTCCTCTTTGCCACAGTGGAATACCCCTTATATGATCAGAAAAAAGCGAGAATCTACCATACCAGCTCCATCTTACTGAAAAAAAAGACAAAATCAAATGAAACAAGTGTTCTGAAACAACATATCACACATAAGCAAAGTCCCCTTTTTAAACCTGTCGGTCCATTGAGCAAGTTAAGTAGATTTTAACCTGTTTCTGTGACCTCAGCAGGTGAAGTCGCCTTCACTTTCCCTGAGGTACTCATCAGAATAGTGTGAATTCAGAAAGATTATACTGATTTTTTAAAGTTATTTCTTTTAAATAAGGGATGAACAATTTCAAATGGAATAAAACTGATTTTTACAAAAAGTATCTTTTATCTTTATCCTTCATGATCTACACAAACCAGATATTGTGGTGATTTTGTTCATTTTACATGAAGCTAGGAAACTATTTCCAATATTTTTGCTGCATTTTTTTTTTATAATTTGTACAGACACAAAAGAGGCTCCCAGTATACAAATCCGGACAGAAGAAAACTCTATTAAGCTTCTTCATGCACAGTTGTAAGGTACAATACTTTCTAAGTCATAAACGTTAACATGATTATTTTTTTTTTAAATTAACCAAAGCCCATGATTATGACAATATTGAAGTCATGGACAAGACAGATTTCAATTAGGTTTGTGCATGAAGAAATATTACATATTCTTACTTTAAACCACATATTTTAATATTTGTCTAATTAAAGCCATTTAGTATTGCGTCACAGAGGCCAGCTTGCATGCTAAAAAAGATTCATCACTGGACATTATCTATCCTTATCTCATGTTCAGATGCATTAATAACATGAAAAACTGAATATTTAGTACGTGGCAGTCAGAACAGAGCATGTATTTACAATTGAGTTTTTGCTTTAAAGCATTCTGTTACAATCAGACCTCATTTAATATTACATTTCAATAAAAATTTTCTTTTAGATATGTTTTTGGCATTTAAAAATATACTATAAATATTATTACTATGCATAGTGCCTCCAGTTAATATACTGTTTAATATTTTGAAGCCTAAGTGTCTAAGGCTAAAACTTGTAAAAAAATGTGTGCAAGCAGGAAGGGATATTTGACTAAAAGTAACTAGAAAAAGTTGACTAGAAAAACTGAAAAACATATGTTGGTGAATCAATAATATAAATTAATGTTTCATACATAAATGGAGTCTACTTCATCTGCCCAGCTGGGGAAGTCTACTTTCACATGTAACCAGAATACAAGAGGTTGTGTGTAAACATATGAACTTACATCTGTTTGTGTAATAGTTGAGGAAGTTATCTTCAGCACCAAACATATCAGAGGGCTTGAAGATAATTGCTTCAGGGAACTCTTCACGAACTGCCAATTCTGATTCATACTGTCAAAGTAAACAGAACTTTATTTTAAAAAAATATTTAAAAAAAAAAATATGAAAATTTCCAGAGATATAAACACAAAACACTTTAAGTACCTTTGTTTTCAAAATTCTAGAAGTTTCCCAAACTTTCTGTGGCTCTGCCTTAGCATTCAAATGAGATATATGAATAAATTTCTCCACACCACATTCTTTTGAAATCTTTGCTAATCTACGTGCGCCAGCGACATGAACATCATGGAAATTGTAGTTCCTACAAACAATATTTTGAATAAAATAATTATGTTACGCAAAATAACTCATTATTAAATAATGAATTACTAACTTAAGCGCAAGAAGTAACTGAAATCCAGTTTTGTATAAAAGATGTGCATACCTGGTTTCATACTGCCTGCCTACAAGGTTTATCACAACATTAGAGTACTGGACAGTTTTCCTAATGGACTCTTCATCCCTCAGTTCAAATGGCTAGAAAAATATAAATTCAAATAATACTGATTCTATGCATAAAACATACACATAAAATAATGGCTCCTTAAAAAATGGGCCAACTTTTAAGATTCGGCCACAACATTACAACCTATGTACAAGCGTAAAATACTCACGAAAAAGAGTACTTGTCCCAGATCACCTGTTAAACGTAATCTTTCAATGTATGTCTGGTCACCTCTATAGGGGATGATGATTTGGGAACCAATTTTACCTGAATATAAAATAAACATTTTCTATAATATTGCATATATTTAAGATTATTAAAGATACGCTCTTTAGACAAAAAAATACATACATTATAATTAAGCAGAATTAGAGTATTTTACCTAATTTATTACACACATATTTTCCAAGATAGCCAGAAGCACCAAATACAGTGGCAACAATGCCACTAAATGAGCTTCGACCCCCTGTTCCTCGCTTCATTGATGACAACTTTGTAGGAACATTAGTAGATGCATCTCTTTGTTGAATGATGATGCATCCAACAGCTCTTGGCACCTGGTACCATGTTTGACCTAAAAGTATTGAAAGTTAGGACATTAAAATAATTCAAAATTTAATTCATGTTAAAACTTAACAGACATTGCTTAACAGGTCTATTGCTGATTACAAATATACATTGCTTTTATTTAACAATTTCATCTTTTGAATAGTGACATGTAGACCAGAAAGAATAGTATTTAGGGCCTTATAGTTAAAAGATCCAATAGAATATTAGTAAGTTGTGTTTATGCTACTAGTTTACAAGTTTAAGTAAACTAATAAAAGTGGATGTAGGTTATGTGTGTGTGTGTATGCCAATTAGATATCTTAATTTCTACCCTGGCCATAGAAGCTGGCTAAATTATTTAAAACCACATTTACACGCGCCAGATATACATACTACACATGTTTAGAAAAAAAACCTCAAAAAAAAAATAAATGTTAGGCTATATAAAAACATTTTTCCACAGATAATGTAAACCTGTGGTGAGTTTATTGTTTTCTAGACATGCATAGCATACACCTCATAAGTGTCAACAGAGTGTAAGAGATAGATGTAGTTATTCTAGTAGTTGTGACATTGTGGTTTGAAATTTATTAAGCTAATAAAATTTGAATTGAATAGGCCCTAAATCTTTACTTATCAATTAATCTAGATTCTAAATCTAGCTACTAGCTCAGTACTATGAAGAGTCTGTAGTGTAGACTGCACTGACTGTACAGTTGTGTTAGTCACAACAGTTACTGAGGTGGTGCATCAAATTAGGACTGATGGAAAGTGTCTAAAAATGTAGATTGAAGACCCCTAATTTACTAATTATCTTTCATAGTGAGTTCCAACAAACTAATCTTTGGTAAAACTCTATTTTGGCGTATTTTATTCCCTGCTTCACGTTCACCTCCACACAAAAACAGGCATATTTCTCTATGAATATTTGTTTTACAGTTTTAGCTTTAGACAATTAACTGTTGTCAAAACTTGAGAAAAATCCATATTTGGATGAACGGTGTCGAGCCACATCCGGCTTTTTATTTTATTTATAGGCCTATAGTACTAGTAATGCATAAAAAGACAAACAGACACACACACACTGCTTTATATATATATATATATATATATATATATATATATATTATATATATATATATAGATCTAGATGTAGACCTAGACACTACTAAGTTACTACTAGATCTAACACTGAAACAGATATCTCGTGGGCAAAAAACAACGAAAGAAAAGTGAAGAAAACAAAAACAAGGTAAGAATAAAAAAAGATTAAAGAATCTTTCACCAACTTTTTAAAAGTAGGCCTAAGCAATTTTATGTTTTTTAAGCTTATGTAAACAATTCTGATTATTTATGTAATAAATGGCTTTTAACTTACGTTGCTTACCTGACATAGACTTACGTCCTAACGAACTAGCAGTGGCCTTGGCCACCAAGACAGAAGCCATTTTGATATACAAGGTTACAAGCAAAGCCAGATTTTTTAGCAATTTAAGTCCTAGCTAATAGAAATCTTCAGTCTAGAAGTTCCATTTAAAATCTATTGATAAATCTAGATCTACATTTTTCAAGAAGATTTACATTACAAACCTCACTTTTCATTTGGCTTTAAAGTTATTATACTGGATTTATAAATTTGAATGGTTTATATTTGAGTTGAAGCTGCGGTAGAAGCTGCGATATAATGCTTAGCAGCTTTTGAAATAAAAACCCTACAAAGTATAGGATATTATAAATAACGAGCTGCTCCGCGCCGTAAGCATACGCCGCTATTTAGTTGTTTTATTTGCTACTTTTCAGTAATACATAATTTGTGAATTCGACACTACCCTCTCATCCATCCTTCTCCCCCCCCCCTCCTGTGTGTGGTTGAATGTGACTCTTAACAAAATTAGGCTACCCATGAAAATTAGAGCCTTCTGTGTTTGCGAGAGGAGTGTAAAGCTTGTGTCAAAAAATTGAGGGAGTTGCACATGGTAAGCTTAGGTATGACGTCATTAAAGGGGAGGGGGGTCTAGTATTTTGTCACCATGTGTTACAATGTGGGATCGGGGTGATGCAAAAAAAAAAAAAAAAAAAAAAAAAAAAAAAAAAAAAAACGTGACGTCATTAATGGATTGCCCTAATTACATCGTATAGATAAGGATTCACTTCTTTTTATCTAGCACATAAACAGGTCTAGTCGGTCTTTTACATTTGAAACTAACGCCGTGTTGCAGCAGCATATTCTATAGATTACGGTGAGGTATAAAGACGAATATGTAAATTATATCAATATCAATTTATCAATTTACTTTCGTTAATTTTTCAACTGCACAAAATTCTTCGCTCCTGTGTTAATATTTACCTATATATATATATATATATATATATATATATATATATATATATATATATATATATATATATATATATATATATATATATATATATATATATATATACATATATATATATATATATATATATATATATATATATATATATATATATATATATATATATATATATATATATATATATATATATATATATATATATATATATATATACATATAAATTTCTATAACAGAACCATGTATAGGCTTGTCTTGATATCCTTAACTTTTGGCCTATCAAATGCCATTGTCTGCCTGCCAACGTTCTGCGAAAATGCGGTTCAGCCAGTTTTAGACTGCAAAGGTGGAATAATCGAGCATGCAGGGTTTTGCGGATGCTACAATATTTGTGCGAAGGTAATCAATATGTTTTTTTTTAAAGCTTTATTTTCAATAAAATCGCATTCCTATCATTTAAACTGTAACAATAGTAAAAACAAAATGGCATTATCCCATTGCAATTTTTTCATTTTAAACAGTAACATTTCTCCGTCCCTTTCGGATTATCCCCCTTCGACTATATCAACCCCCCCCCCCCCCCCCCCTCTTTACCATTGCAAGTGTTATAAAAAGCAATCCTCCATAAGGACGTCGCAAAATTATACACCCACTCACCGTAAAATAAAGAAAATTCTCAAGAAAATTAACGTTTTTAATTATTACTACACAGTAGGGGGGGGGGGCATTTGAAAATTCATGTAGGGGAGTGGGGAGCATTCAAAATATACGGGGCGGATGATCAAGTATACATTTTCTATATAAATAAATATATAATGTATGTTGTCCCGAGGTATGGGGGGGGGGGGGGGTGGCGTGGAGAGTGCAAGCGTGCCCCAGAAAGGAGGAGAGCATTGCATGAAGAAAAGCCTAAAATAAACCGAGTAGGAATTTCTAGACTACAAAAGGTTGGCGCTTTTAACAGTCTTTCTTTCTCCACTTCAGATAGAAGGTGAGTCTTGTGTGCTGAATATGCCATTCCGAGGTGTGCCCAACACAGAGATATGCGACCAAGGGCTTGAGTGTGTTCCAGATGTTACGGACGGTGTGTCATTTGGTCACAAGTGTGTCAAAAAGACGGATAACGTTTCACAAAGAGCGCGTAAAAATGTTTTTTTTTTTTTGCTATTTTATTATAGGCTTTCTAATCAAATCGGATGTAAACTTATGATCACGAGAATTTATAAACATCCTAATATTATGCTAATTCGCGCTATTCACTATACTTTAACTAAACACCGCATACTTTTAACTTAATTCTCGATAAGAGATATCCATTTATGACGTCCACACGGGCGGGGGGGGGGGGGGGGGGGGGGGTCCGGGGACAAAAATCGACTTTTGTGGACGCGTGTGGACGAGGGGGGAGTGGCGGGTTTTATGGACGACCACTGACGAATTTTACAAATTACTTACATCTTAAAAAAAATTATGCATATAAAATGTATTAAATAAGCAGTTTTCGTGTTTAAAAAAAACCCCACCAGCTCTTAATTGTTGAATAAATGTATCTGAGATGTAACTGTATACCGACTAACTAAAAAAAAAAGCGGCACATTTTTATAAGCGCGAGGGGGGTGGGGAGCATTGACCGCGGCAATTCTCTAGAACAGGGGTCTCCAAACTTTTCAGTCCGAGGGCCACATTAACTATCAAATTTCAGTTCGGGAGCCAGTTTCTTCCAGACATGTCTTTGATTTTTCTGGGCAAAGTTCCTCAGCCATCACCAACAAACGTTTTTTTCCGTGGACAAAAATATCTCCGCGGGCCGGATGAGAGGACATCGCGGGCCGCATCCGGCCCGCGGGCCGTAGTTTGGAGACCCCTGCTCTAGAAAGTGGACGCGTGTGGACGAGGGAAGGGGACGGGGTCTAAAATTCCTAATTTTTGTAGACGTCATAAACGGATGACATCCTAACTCCCGGTTTGCATATTACCCGCAGTATCCCACTGTGTTACGGCATGCCAAAGAAAATCTCTGATGTGCACCATTTCAATGATCGTATACCAAGGACAGTGGTTCGCAAAATGTGACCAGGAAGGGAACTTCTTACCAGAGCAGTGTGACAATACAAGTAAGACGTTAGTTTTTACAAATATATTTTACTGATAAAAATCGAAAGAAACGGATCATTTGGTCAGAGGCGTAGCGACCCTTCCCGGCGCCCGTGGACAAACTTTAAATTTGGCGCTCCCCACCCTGGGACAAGCTTTCAATTTGGCGCCCCCTCCCCCATAAATTCTAAATCACTATAATGCAAAACTGCAGCTAAAATGAGCTTTTAATATTTTTTTCAACCCATTTTGGCGCCCCTAGGTTCGGCGTCTGGGGACATATGTACCCCCCTCGCTACGCCTCTGCATTTGGTCTGCCCTTTGTTTAT